GTGTGTGAAGTCACAGGTTGACTTTTGTCAACTGTTTACCAACTCCGGGAAGCTCTGCTTCTGTCTTCCTTCTTTCTTCAACTGCCTACCTGCATGAGGATAACTAAATCTGCTTACAAATTCTTATAATGCTTGCCACGACCTTCTCTTTGTGATTGTAAAAGTGATGCACCACCAATAGCCTATGGTCAACTGCTTTCTGCCAAATTTGTCTCAATAAATTTGAGCTGAATTTATCTTTGGTCTAACATTCTTGGATTTCTAATATAAATGGCCTGTCTTCATTATTACAAACAAGGACAAAATGGCTTGATACAATGAATAAAATCAGGAAAACATAACACTACAAATTGAGTCAAAATGAAAGATTCCTTTGGTTAATCCCTTCCTAGATGATTGGCATTACAGTGAAGGGGAAGAAAGTTCTTACTGCCAGAGGGAAACATCAAGTCTAAGAAACAGGCAACAGGAAATAATTCAAGCAGCACTTTGCATTATTATAATCAACATTCTATATTTTATGATATTTTTTCATAGAACACATAGAAAATAAAATGCAGTGATACATCCAATATGGAATCTGGAATGAGTCCCTCTAGGTTTATGGGGCAGAATTTAGATAACAAATATGTGCTGCTCTAGGAAAGTAAAATGACTATCAGGAAATTTTAAAAAATGTTCTTATTTAATCCATCCTACTATTGCTAAAGAGCAGATACAGCAATCTTATTAGAGATAATGTAGTTATACAAGAAACACAGCTCATATGGTTTTATCCGTTTTTAATGATTAATGTAACGAAGAGAAAGGGTAATCCTGAGGACTAGGAATTTCAAATAAGTAAGGTGTAAGCATGATGCTAATAAAATAAGATACATGCAGCAGATATCATCTTTGAGCATTTACTATGAGCCAGCCACTGGGTTGCTATCTGTGGCAAATCATTAGTTTTACAATCACACTAGCCCTGTATTAGCACCAGCTAATGGATGAAACTCAGTCACAGAGCTAGTGTGTAACACATACTGAATCTCTTATAAACAAGAGACAGTGAGCAAAAACAGAGGCCAATCACTTCCTGTATGAAGTCAGAAACACAGAAGAATGAAAACAGGTTTCTTTGCCAAGCCATCTTTGTTTATCTCAACAGGGGCTACTGCTGTTAAGAGACACTCAGTTACAATTATTAGGTATCACATCAAGTAGATAAGACACCAAGATGGCACCTTCAGACATTCATAAGGAAATCAAAGAAAATAGAAAATTATAACAGGATTATTACAATGTTACAGAAAATTCCATGTGGGACTGAAGCTCACATCTAGCCTGTAGAGGGACTATAAGTTTATTCACTATGCATTTCAGTCTTTGCCTTGTATCAGGTAAAGAGCAGGATTATTCGAAAGCATCTCTTTACTAGGTGGGACGACCCTGCACACACTGTCAGGACTGAGATGCTTGCAGACTTCAACACGTACATCTCTTCTGTGCATTTAGGTTTTCCAATGGCCATGTTCCAGAAGCACTCACACAGGCAGCTAAGGCAGGACTGCATGGATGAGAATCACACTGCTGAAGGTAAGGCTCCGAGGAAACTCCTGACACCTGAGACTGGATCCTTAAATCATGCATGCATTCATCTATCAAACACTGCTAGTTTTCCAATGTGTGCTCAATAGATAAAAGGATAATAAGAAAGACTAAAGCCCAAATGCCTGACCCTGTAAGATAAACGAACAAGCATGTCTACAGAAGCAGCCACAGCTGAGCCTGGGAAGTGTCTGGTAAAATTCTAAGACCAGCTATAAACATCTCTATGTTTAACTGTCATGAAATAATAATGATTAGCAAAGTCTATTGTGTCCAGCATCATACACTATAAGGAGTTATCAATATGATTTATATTTCACAAAATTCTACCTTTACTCTAGGTTTCAAAAGATTATTGAAAGATGATTCTTTTCCCTCTGCAACATATTTAGCTACATTCCGGATGTATTAATAACAAATACTACTGTTATGGTTTGAACAGGGATGGCCTCCACAGGGTCGTATGTTTGAATGCTTGGTCATTAGGGAGTAGTGCTACTGAGAGAGATCAGGAGATATGGCCTTGGTGGAGGAAGTACGTCACTGTGAGGGGGTGGGCTTTGGGGTTTCAGAAGCCCAAGCCAGATCCAGTGTCACTCTCTCTTCCTGCTGCCTATGGATCCAGATGAAAACTTTTGGCTCCTTCTCCAGAACCACGTCTTTCTACATGCTGCCATACTCCTAGCCATGCTAACAATGGACTAAATCTCTGAAACTGTAAGCAAGTCCCAATGAAATGCTTTCCTTTATAAGAGCTGCCATGGTCACGGTGTCTCCTCACAGCAGTAGAACAGTGACTGAGACAACTACCTATTAGAAGAGCAGGGAGGAGCGCACCATCCCACAAAAGCACTTAAGCCCTATTCAGACACTGCACGCATATCTTGTTTATTCTGAAGGGTTCATAGCTATGCAGTTCTCTTTCTTCTGAGAGGGGTTGGAGATTTAGCTCCATGGTACAGCACTTGCCTCTGCAGTTACACAAAGGCCTGGGCTCCAACTCCAGAAGAGTACACAGTCCTCCTCCATTAGCCAGCACATAAAGAAGAACAATAACATAAAAAAGCTTATCTGGCCAGGGGGTGATGCACACCTTTAATCCCAGTACTCGGGAGGCAGAGGCAGGCGGATATCTGTGAGTTCAAAACCAGCTGGGTCTACAAGAGCTAGTTCCAGGACAGGCTCCAAAGCTACACAGAGAAACCCTGTCTCGAAAACCAAAAAACAAACAAACAAAAAACCCACAAATGAGTTACTGATTAGGAAAGTGCTAGAACTTTTAAAGAATGAAAGGAACTGCAGATACCATGAAGCTGATTCACTATCTGAAGACGGCATTTAGGACCTTGAAAGTTAAAACAATTGAGATGAAGAACAAAACAAAACAAAAATGGCACAGAATCAGTACGAAAACACAGTATATCAGCTCCTATGCTTTTAATTAGCACAATTCTACAGCAAACAAAAGACATTGAGGTACATTTGGAGGAAGTCACCAGAGGTGCCTTTTAGGTCACAGGCCTAAAAGTACACCTTTGACTATACTGTTACATTGCTGAACTCCTTTGTTGTCATGGAGATTAGGAAGTGAACCTTAGGGAGAAAGACATGTTTACCAGTAAGCCTTTTCTCCATGACTCAGAACCACTTTCTGTAAAAGTTGAATTCAGAAGTGACAGTTTGAAAGTGGGCCACAATTAAGAAAAGTTCAGCATTTTGATAAGATCAAGCAGATGTAAAAAAAAAATAAAGCAACAAGTTTATTCAGGTTTTATTTACTTTAAAAAGAAGACAAGTTCATTTTAGTGGAATGGTTTATCAGTTCCCAGTAATGTTTTAAATTCCTCTTAAGAATTTGAAGCAAGATTGACTGTGTTTGCTCACTCTCCAGGAACTGCTAAAACTTCAATGAGGTTTTAAATGATATTAAGTATGTTGCCTATTTAAGAAAAATCAATAGTATTTTTAAAAAGCATTTTACTGGAGCTCTCATCATTGTGTGTACTAAACTCTGGGCCATCTTACATGACATCCAAGGAGTTGAAGCAGTTGTAAAGTCAGGGAAAATCCAGTCCATAATAACTTCTGCTTAACATCCTTACAGTTTACAGCTCAGTTTAAAAAGGCAACTTTCAGACTGCATAAATAATCTCTTTCCCTCTTCCTCCTAGCATCAGGCAGAAATTTGGATGTGTTGAGTTACACAGGAGCCTGGTGTGGAAAGGCAAGACCAGGGCAATTCAAAAGAACCAGAATCCTGGCTCCTGTAGAGTTTTCTTGTTTGTCTTAGAGCAGGACACATTTAAGGTCACAAAGGTACTCACTAATCACAGGATTGCGGTGGGATCTAAAGAACTATTGAATTTAAAATGCTCATGGCTGTTTGGGCATAATAAGTGCTCAGCTAGTTATTATTATCAGAACAGTGCAACTGGAAAATTTAAAGAAAAAATACAGAAACTAGAAAAAGCAGATGCAATCTTACTTCACTCACTTCACTTACAAATTTCACTTGTATAGTTTTATATATTTTGTGTGTCTATACCAATGTAGGTGTATGTCATTTTTATTACTGTTCATTCAATATGATCACTGTCTAGAAAGAACAGTGACTTACAGGGCATAAAATCAGAAACATCAATCAAAAATTACACTAACAAGCTTAGCAAAGCGAGGCTCTCCTTTAATCCCTGCCCTCAGGAGGCAGAGGCAGCTACATCTCTGAATCTGAGGCTATATAGAGTACCAGGTCAGACAGTGCTACATAGGGAGACACAGTCTCAACATAGTGAGATCCTGTCTCAAAACACCAAAAAGAGGGAAAAAAAAACCACAATACAACAACAAATAAAAACTAAACTTAATATTTCTGTGCTGGACATATAGTGCAGGAGTAAAATACTTACCCAGCGTGTATGAGGCTTTGTGTATAATCCAAAGCACTTCCCACAATATACACAAATTCCTTGTGCTGACCACTATTTATAATTTACTCATTGTTTGATACAGACCTGATTGAATTAATACTTAGAACAATGATGGAGAAAAACAACATATTTAGAGAAATAAAATTAAGTAATAAATCTGAGGAAAATGTATAACAGTAATGCTGAAATGAATACAAACCCTTGTAGTAATTATATTATGGGATGGAGCTAGAAGGTCACCTCAGAGGTAAAAGGCCTCCTTCTGAATGATTACAAGACCTTAGCACTTTTGGCTTCCTCCCAAAGTCAATAATGAGATACAAAAGAGGAAGACTATTTCCACACCTGTATAAGGAAAGATCCCTCTAACCCCACAAGTAGAGAGATGTGCACACAGCAGGATTATGCACCACACCCCAAACTCACACCCAGCTAGAGGAGGGGACTACATAAGGAGGACTTCAAGGCAGGCTCTGGACAAACCTGTTGGAAAGGTCGAGTCTGGGCCTGTCTGAGAAGCCTCTGCTGCTGTTGCTGTTGTTGCTGCTGCTGCTGCTGTAGAAGCTTCATCTGTAGCAGCTGCTGCTGAGATGTGATTGCATGAAGGGAGGGTGGCTGCAGCATGGCACCTGAGCGCCTCTGCAGCATGTTGGACAAAGCTTGCTTCGTATTGGTTGGGACAAATGAGCCTGCAGGGTCCAATCTGGAGCCACCTATAACAGCAACGAAGAGGAAGGTTTGCAAAAGGAGTAGGTGTTCTTTGATCACAACAAGAAATTTTACCTTTTTTACCTTATGAGCCAGATAGAATATAGTCTTCTGCCCTACCAGCTCCAAGCATTAACATTCTGTTAAGAGCTTAACAGAGGCAGCTCTTAACAGTGGTGGTGCGCGCCATTAATCCCAGCACTTAGTAGGCAGAGTCAGGCAGATCTCTGTGAGTTCGAGGCCAGCCTGGTCTCCAGAGCAAATGCCAGGACAGGCTCCAAAGCTACACAGAGAAACCCTGATCAAAAAAACAAAACAAAACAAAACAAAACAAAAACAAAAAAAGAAGAGCTGCCTAAGTTTTGAAAGATAAATAACAATGCTATGTGTGAATAACAATACTTCAAAATTGCTACCTGGAGGCTGCACTTCATTGGATGAAATGCAATGCCTGCAACAAAGATGAGTCACATAAAACTTTGGTCATATGGTTTGTAAGCCAGGTACATCCTTCAGAATGTGCATATTACCTGAATAAGAGTGTGCCTTGTGCTGTATTTTGCAACGTTTTGTAAGCCAGGCATAGAATCTCTCTGTATTCTAAACAGATCTGAAGACTATATTATTTAACCTTTTACTTTGGCAAAATCAATAGGCCAACTTTGGAGATGGGAGAAAATGGGAAGGAGACTCTAATTGGAGGAGGAGGGGGGGAGGCGAGACAAATAACACCACCAAGAAAGCTTCAAGGAATCACACTATTTTATATTTACCTGAATTTATATGTAATACATTCTTTCATGTGTACACACATACACACCTTACATTATGTCACTTAGACTGACAATGCTCCCCACAAGAACCATAGACTCTTAACAAATACCTCAACAACAGGTATGAAAAATATCCATTCAACTTGTTGGTTAGGGTAGTTCTAATGTCTTCAAAAACAATATAAGCCATTGCTACTACCCTTGTTGCCTCTCAAGAGCTGAAGATGTAGGGCATAGAATCCAGATGATTCAAATTGAATTGAATCTGAAAGCTTCCTCCTTCCTGTGCTCTCACAACCACAGCACTAGAAAGTGACCAGCATGGCAAGATGCCCCAAAGGTGCAATAGTGGCATTTCGTATCTTGGAAGTTACCAGTAGTTATTGGATTTAAGGAGAGATATCACTCCTGGTACTAGACACCTTACCAACTATCATGGGCTAGTGAGGACACGAATCTTAGAAGAGAACTTGTTACCATGACTTCACTAGACCAGTATAATTCCATAATATATTCTAAATCTTTTCCTTATACTCACAGATGAGTGTAGTTATCACCTCAGCCCTATCAAAGAAGCTTCTCCTTACAGCAAACAGAGATTGTCACAAAGAAAAGCACTAGATACATACAATGCAGGACATTAGCAGGTTGAGGGAGCCCAGCTCCAACAGAGAGATCTACAACACAACCCCTGTACCTAGGGCTCAGAGAGCATCTGGCACAGAAGAGCCAGTGGAAAGACTATCAGCCAGGGGGTCAAGAAATCTGACCAGAGATACAATCTCCTAGAAATTGGTGCCTATACAAGACCCAAACAATGACAGCAAAAACACGTTAACATACATAAGGGGAAAATCCAACCTCTATTCAAAGAATTACAGGCAAATAATGGCTGCTGGGAGAGGAAGAATTAGCCTTTCCCAGGATTGAGGTCCCTAATTGGTTTCCCAGGATTGAGGTCCCATTACAAGGCGGTCAGACTTGAAGTCATATACATACAAAGAACAAAAATGGACTCAGCATTCTGTATGATATATCTGTGTTTCTGTGTTGTATGCATGCGTAAATATAATAATCAAAGAAAAGGAGGCCATCAATTTGAGAAGCAGCAGGGTGATATGGGATAGGAAGTGCTGGGAAGATGGAGCATGCAAAGGATCCACGTGAGGAAAACGAAGAGCTGAAGGGAGTAAAGAGAAGGGAAATGTGATGTAGTTTTATTTTCATTAAAATACACTAAAAATAAAGAAAATGCCTGTTCTGTAAAGAAGAATGGAAACACTTTTAAAACTTAAAATGCTTGAAGACTTCACACACAAACATCTCTTCAATCACTGTTGCTCAAAAGACTAAGAAAATCCTAAAGATATTTGCATTCAGTTTGTCAAGGCCTTTATAAATCAGAAAAAAACTTACTTCTGCAATTGGTGACTTTATAGGAATGTCACTCCTTCCCTCACAGAGTCTATATTCCTTGGGATATGCAAACAAGAAGAGTTCTAAGCACATAGCTCATAAAAATGTTTCTTTTTTAAATGACGCAATGTGTATGACAGAAAAAGCATTTTGGGAGCCACCTTCAAGACTCAGCATCACAGCTAAGGTGACCATCAGCCATTCAGAGGCATCGGAAGGACAATTGAAAATAAGGGAAAATGAGTAACCATGTCTAGGTAACTTCATTGCAGCAAGATTTGAAATGCTACTAACAACCCACAATACTAAACTAAGGATAGGGCATTCACTACAGAAAATGGAAAACTGAAAATCAGACTGAAGTCTACTTAAAAAAAAAAAAAAAAACTTATTTTTTTCATACCAATCCCAGTTCCCTCTCCCTCCCATCCTCCCTACTCCCCCTACCATTTCCCCATCTTACATCCTGTCCTGTCCCCAGTGAGGGTGAGGCCTCCCATGGGGAATCATCAACATCTGTCACATCATTTTGGGCAGGACCTGAGGGGTCTAAGGTGCTGAGTTCAAGTGCTTCTTATACTTTTCTTAACTCTTCTGTAACCTTGAACCTCTTAGCCAACCAAAAAACAAAATGTTATAAATCTTTCTAAAATGTTCTTGGTGACTTTCCTTACCTTCTACGGAGTGTTAGTCTGAACTCAGTGTTTAATATTCCCTCTTTTTCTTAAACCATCCATACTGATGTGTACAGATGAGAAGAGTATGTGTCTAAAGACAATGGGTAGCAATGGGCTCCAAATGGATTGTGGTAACACTGACCACTGGACAGAAACTATCCAGTTACTTAGCCCTACCTAAACTGTGGCCAGTGTTGGGTTGACAGTTCCTCTACCTCACCAAGGGAGGTCAGATTCCCCTAGTTCATCCTCCACAGGAAAATCTCTCAGATTTTCTGGGTCTGGCAGCCGAAGACTTTAATTGTATCCTGTGTGACAGCCTAAGTATGAAGACCTTTGCCTCCAAGTCATGGAGATCATCATGGAGGAACTCTGGCTGGCTGTCCAGACAGCAAAGTCTCTGTAATTTTCATTGAGACAGAGGCCATTTGGATTGCATTCCTGCTCAAATTTACCCTTCTCAGATTTCTGATGGTGTTGATGATGCTCCCTAGCATTACCAGTTTAGCAGTAGTAAGCCTGCTTTAGCCAGATCCTCCCTGCAAGGCTGCAACTTCCTGGAATTTCATGTGTAAAAATCAGGCCTTGCTTTACTAAAGCTACTAGGTCTCCTGCTGAGAAAGGTAGAATCATAAACAGGTTTACCTCCTTTATAGGCTTCACATTGAAAATGGTAAAACTCAGAAAACAAGTTTCAATGTAAACACAAGCTCCAGCTATCATGAGGCTATTATTAACTAAAAATTGACTTCCTACTGTTCCCTTATTTAGAAGAACTTGCTTTTCAGTGACATCTCTCAGTAATCAACCCCCTAAGTCTCATGATAAATGATTTGTTGGGTGAAAATGGTTTAAAGTTTATGTAAGTTGTGGAGGTCTAAAGGAAATGATTTAAGGCATGTAAATATAAGTTGTGAGAGTCAGTCTAAGAAGTGACTTAAGGTATGTGAAAAATGAGACTTAAAGATGATAATCTGATGTTAAGAGTTTTAATATATAAATCAATGGAGTTCTAATAAGCTATTAATCTAGCATTGGTAGCACTGGATACTCTTATCATAACCACAGGCCAAAAGTTTAAACAACCTTTGTCTTCAAAATTTCGACTTAAAAGAGTGATGATCATTGTGCTGAAAACTTTTCTGTCTGAAAACTATTCCATCCCTCTGGACAGAGGAGCTTTTGCTATGGCTCAAAGACATGAGTCTACTCAGCTTCCAGAATAGCTGAAACTACAGGCAGGCATCACCAAATGTAGCCAACCATCTATTTTAAGACTGGGACACCGTTCTTCTTGTAAGAATACCATGGTGAACACAAGATAAAAAGTACCTGTCTTCACAAAGCTTACAGTCTGGAACATGAAGATAACCCTCCAAGGAAGCCCCTTCAAGCTAGCATGCTACACACAGAAGAGGGAAACGCAGACACTAGGAAAGGGACGTGCTTTACAACTTTGAGCAGAGCAGCTGCTAAGGTTGGACCTCACTATGAAAGTATCAGACCAAAACTTTTGGAGGCACTTGATGAGCCCTGTATGTGGGGAGCCTGTATGCACAGGAAGCATCAAGTATAACTTCAAGGAGGTAGGAGATGTTCAACTCGTGTACTGAACCTGTCTGCTGTGTGAGCTGTATTGTAAAGGCTATAAATGTATTTTTCATTAAATGTAATGTACATCTAGCTAGAATTTATGAGTATATACATATATGTACATAATGTGTACATGCATAAAATTAACTTTTCTCATCCTTTAAAGACATTTTCTTCAGGCAGAATTAATCTTTAGTTACCAAATATTTTTATCTAGAGAAGTATTCATTTGGTTTAATAAGATATACTTGGGGCTTAAACCAAAGCAATACTAAGCAGGAATAATTACTCAGGCTGTGGTAGTTTTCTGTGTTAATTTGCAAATCTCCTAATGAAACCAAACTTCTGATCTGCTTCATAATTTAATTTTAAAATTTACAATGCAAGAAAGGAAGGATACAATACTGTCTGATCTTTTGAAATGCAAGTGGGAATTATATTCATTAAAATTATATGTAAATTTTATAAACATAAAACTGTTATCAACTTTGTATGTGGTAGCTCAGACTTTAGGCAACAGCAATCTCCTTCCAAAATCTATAATCCACACATATAACTTCAACTGTATATTAAGGTATTATTTAAGGAGACAGGCTTTTGCTATGTTGACAATGCTCAGTGAGCTTCCTTTCTTAGCCTCTATTGTAATAGCTGGGACAATAGAAATAAGCTATTGGGTCTAGCCAAAGCTTTATCTTATTTCAAAAAATGAAAAGTTGTGACTGAGTACTGGATTACACTAATTCTCATTTTGTGGAGTATAAAGGTTAGAATCGAGGAGTTTTTGTCCTCAACTTGCTGATCAGAGTGGTCTGCCAGTGTGGTGTGCCTCACACCTACCTGGATTCAGAGATGGATTCTGAAGAAAAAAGCTGGGCTGCTGGGGCTGGCTCATCAGGTTGTAACCCCACAGCGCAGACTGCGGATGATGCATCATTTGGGAGGACATGGGCGAGTAATTAGGAGGCACTCGGTATATGTTGCTCTGCTGATACTCCTTCAACAAAAATATATTTTAAATTTAACTTAATAAACCACACACAGTTAATCAACAGAAGTTCTTCCTATTCAGTTATGTGGGGTCAACCCATCTCAGAACTCAAGGCTATATTTTGTGAAAGGGAAGGGAGAGAACATAAATGATGACCCATTTCCTGAAAAACACCCATGTGAATTAAAATTTTTGTTTGATTTAAAACATAATAATATTCAGCTAGCACATACAAGACCCTATGTTCAGTCTCCTGTGTCACATACAAGACCCTATGTTCAGTCTCCTGTGTAGAGACAGAGAGAGACAGAGAGAGACAGAGAGAGACAGAGAGAGACAGAGAGAGACAGAGAGAGACAGAGAGAGACAGAGAGAGAGAGAAGTTCCTCACAGCAGACATTTCAAAAGTTAAAAGCACATGTCTGAATAAGAACTGTGTCAGAAAGGCCTACATAGGCCTAGACAGTATCTTACCACAGCTTTCCTTTCTCCAAATCCCCATGCTTCCTCCTCCTTATAGCAGGTGCAGACTCTAAGGTTCACACCAGAAAGTCTCAACTTTTTTTTTTTAGCATGGCCCTCAAGGATGACAGACAATGAACATCTCAGTACCCTTCAACTAGACAAAAGGATGTAATCCTACTGGAAAGAGGCAGCTTCAGGAGGAGGGTTCTGAGTGTATTAGTTTTGTATGTGAAGAGAAAAGAAGCCCTCATCCATGTGGTTTGGTGGGCCAGAGTGTCCAGGTTTGGGAGTGGGCACTGGTGCTCAAGTGGCACCTGAAAGTGACAGCGGCCATCTCTCAAAGTGTCTTCATTACCAGGCTATCAGCTGATTTGGAGCTGACACAGGTGAACAAAATGATAATTGCTCCTCAATAGCTGAGTGCTCATAATAAGTACTTCTCGCCACCAGGCAAGAACATCTGTGTACTCTATAGAAAGCAATCTGAAAATTATCTCTGGTGTAAACCCAGGTAATTCCAAGGAGAAAGCTATCTTAAATATTGCATCTCAAATTCTATAAAATAATTTCTGAATTATCATCTAACAGGTCTCTGGTACTGGAAAGAAAAAGAAAGGGTGTGAGATGATTTTAAATTAGGTCTATCTTTTATAAGATCTGAAAATATGTTAAAGACTACTTGGGGGTAGAAGGCACAAGGGTGAAGAGAAAAAAAATCTCAGGATTTGCTGTTGGGCAAATCAGAGACAAATTCATTCAGAGAAAAGTGGAAAGAACTTTTTAATGTTAGTTCACTGCAAATATCAATCATTCAAAATAATATACTTAAGTATACCTATTAATAAAAGTGTTTAAGAGAGTGAAATCATATACCCCTGAAAAATCAAAGTTTCAAACCCAGGGAAATTATGAGGCTTATTAACACAATTTTATCCACAACTGAAGTCTAAGGTTAAATAGTAAGGGTTGAGAATGGAAAATAAAAAGCTGTAAATCTGTCACCTATGAGAAATGGTGTGCCATCTCATTTATTAGCACAGAAATGTGTTAGGAAAACTCTATATGAGAAGGCTGATACCACTCTTAGTAAGGTTTGGCCATGGATAAATCCCATCCTAGATGCTAATGAGCCAAACTCCGCCTATCATCCCCCACTCACATCAATTCGTGAGCTTGATTTTGTCTTACGCTTCCTTCCCTTTGTCTTCTTCTCTTCGTCAGCTGTTGTTTTTCCTTGATCTGACAGTTCAGCTGATTTCCTTTCTGGTTCCTGAGAAACTGGAGATGATGGCTCTTCCTCTTCCTCCTCAGGAGGTAGGGGCAGTGGCTCAAGATAGTAGCTTCGGGGCTTAGGCATGGTATGTGTGTGGTACAGCAGGAAGTGGTGCTGTTCCTCATATTTTACCACCTTCCGGTCCACACGGACAGTGCCGAACCAGGCCCAGGACAGAGGAGCTGGGTTCTTCTGACCCTCAAACAGGTCCCATGGGGACACCTTCTGTTTTGTAGAGACCTGGAGACCCTGTGGGAAAAGAGCGTAATATCAGAGCACACTCTGGCCTGTTCCCAAGTCACAGAGCAAGGAATTTAGGGGACTCAATAGACAGAAACACTTGGCTAAGTCAGGTGAACTGGAACTCAGAACTTTGGGAGTTCAGCTCTCCAGTTCTCTGCATCATCTTACATTCCTTCAAGGCATCTCAAGGTAATCTAGACTATTTTACTATCAAATGACATTTTCATCCAGTTTGTTCTAGCAAATATAATTTCTGAAGTATCCTGTAAAGAAGTTGGCCTTATAATTGAAAATTATAACCAGTTACTCATTTCAGGAACCTATCCATTGTTTTTAAGATGATACAAAATTTAAAAATCAATATATAGTTTGCCTCTGTTTAGGCTCATATTCACTTCAGTTCAGCCTATATGGACTTGATGTAGTATGTGGACTTCTCATGTACATAACATGGCATTGTCTGAACAAAAAAATGTGAGGGAACATAATTACAGAAACAGGTACAAAACAAATCAGGTCTTTTTTACTTTTTTAAAGCATTCTTTTTATTTATTCTTTGTGTCTTTCACCAAATCAGGTGTTTCAATTCCAACTTACCTTCACTGGAAAAACAGAATGTTTTTATTTGTAACATAAATTGGTGACATTTTTTGGTAACTTCTCCAGTATACCAATTCAAAGACGTTGCTTCTAAAAAATGGCTAAGGAACCTACCCCTTGCTCCTCGATGTGAGCATACCTGTTCTTGCCTGTGCTTCCTCTGTAAAAGTGGCTTCTTCTAACACCACTAGTAAAGTCACCACTCCCTACTGTCTGTCATGCGACGAAAGCAATTTCCTGAGTAGAGCTCAAATCTAAATAGACCCTGGATGCTTAATGCTGGAAAGGAAAGGCCAAGTCATCTTGACTGTGACTAGGGGCCATTTCCCTTTCCATAGCCACATTGCTATGGCATTTAGGTTACCTCTGAATTCTGATGGCATTGCTTTTCCTCTATGAGTCACTTTCTTCCTTGCCTTGATTTAAACTTTCCCTGCCTGTTCCATTCTTTCCTGTATAACTCTTAATCCTTCCAAATGGTCTGTGTTTCAATTATTGGAGGAAGCCCACTCTGACTACCTCTCCCTTGTCTGGCTTAAATTGTCCCCCTCAGTGCCTCCTAATCCTCTCTGTATATGGCTTTTTATGATACCAATAGCTATTGTGCTTAGATGACAAAAATAATACCTTGAAAATTAAGAATGAAGCTAAGATGTTTTGTATAGCCTCAAAGAATGTAAGAAAAGTCACTTGGCTTCTATAACTAGATTTATTTATATATGAGGGGGAAAAATTTACTCTTGCCTGTTTTTTATCAATGGAGTCAAATCCAGCAATTTTGTTTCCCTTTGTATCGATCAGAGAACCCATGGGTTCACAAGTGATGACATCGCATGTCTGTTTTGGCAAAGGCAACAACTGTCGAACTTTGTCAATGCTTTCTGACCGCTTGTCTCCTAGTTCTTTCTAGAAGAAAAAGAAAAAAAGATGTAAAAGCAAGAGAGAAGTGAGAAAGAAATGCTGACTTTATAGTGAATACATAAGTTCATAAGAAGGAAGTTCCCCAATGACACAGTTCCTTTTTATTTTATATATATAGCTGGTATGTTTATTAACCCTCCATACAGTCAGCTGCAAATCAGACTGGTGAAGTGTTTCATTTCTTCTATTCAAGTAGAAAGTAGAGTGCACACAAAGGCAGTCTTGTTATAAGGAATATCAGAGTGCTGAAATGACAAAAATCCACTGTGTTATTTGCAGTCACACAGCAGGAGCTGCAGCACGGACAATTTCTCGAATCCAGGGTGGTCAGACTGCAAGGTAATCAACAATTATTTTCTTGTAAAGTCTTCAGATTTATGTATTTGCAATGTCTATTTACCATTTATTTCAAGGACTATTAGTGGGTTATCAAACGAGTCAGATTTACAAATTCAAAGCAAATGCTCATTTTTCTACTTGCATGTACAAATCCAAGCTTGGGTTTAACCGAAATCCGACACTGGAGTTTTGGTTACATATTTGATATGGCATTTCCAAATTCCTTACAGTTAAACATATTTTATGAATATAATTTTTAGAGAAAACTCTTTCAGATAACATACTTGTAATTTTGAAGGACTGGCAAGCCTAGGCAAGACAATAATCACATTATGTTGAATCGACTATACATGTAAATTAAGGAGTAAGTAATCAGACAACCAGTCCATAAATAACTTCAGAATGGAGGCTGATCACAAACTTACTTTCAGTTTCTTTACCAAATTCATGTATGCACGTTTGTTCTCTTCAGATCCCCCGGGGGAAGCATTTGATAGGTCAGAAGCCAATGTCCCATTGATTAAAACACCCAGCATGTCAAGAACTGTTGTGAATAATTCACTGAGAGGAAAAGAAAAACCCCATTTTATTCTTACAAACACAACCAAGATGCACATAATTATCTAAGCATTTCTTCTGAAAGCACTGAATTTTTAATGACATCTAAGTCAGTAAGTATCAGAATTTACTGTCAGTATATCAAAGCTCATATCATGCATGCATGCAGCAAAAAAGTATAAACTAATTTTAAAAAGACATACTTGTTAGTGTGCATGTCAACAGTTCCTGAAGTAATTATCTGGAGGAGTAGGAGAGCCCAGTCAGTGGTTCCCTGGGTGCTCCTCTGGACCGTGTCAAACATCCCTCCTACCTAGCATACAAAATACAGTAAGGAATTTGTATCTGTAAGATCAAATATCATGCCTATTACTATAGGTGCCTAAATGTTGATTTCTTAAAAGCAAAGAGATGTTAAGAACTGGTTCTTGCTAAATAAGTTATGGATTAACCTAGAGTCTGTCTCATTTAGCCATGTGTTTATCACTATTTTTGGTTCTTTCAACATAGTACAGTCTTTCAAAACAACAAAAAGAGTAATACTTGAGTATTACTGGCTTTCTTTTCCTATCAATCTCCCATGGTACTCAGTTGTAAACATAACTGCAGATAAATTAACCCTAAATAGCATCAAAACTCTGTCTGCAATTCTGTTATATTCATTTATTATTACATCTAAGTCTGCCATTACAATACCCCCGGGGAATGTTTGTTAGATCTGGTGGCCAGCCCCTGTGTGGAGGTTAGGCTGCCAGAAATCCGACATGCTAGCACCCAGGGTAGATTTCATTTGGGGTTTGTACAACAGGAAGAGAAAAACTCAAAAGAATACAGGATGTCTTGAGAACTTTTAGATTCTATAAAAAACATTCAGGTGACATTTATCTTTTTCTAATCAATTTGACAGATCCAATCAATTCTGACTTAGAATTAATGGATTTTATGGTTTTAAAATAAAATACAGTAGAGTTAACACTCATATTCAAATAAAGGCTTCTTAGACCTCCCCTTAGCACCAACTGAGGAGGGGAGATCTGATGGAAGGAGCTGGCTAGAAAAGAAAATTGGTGCTCAAAACAGACTGTCTGGAACTCCACCCAGACAGGAAGGAATGAGGCAAGGGCGACAGAAGGTTTAAGAGAAAAGGAAGTGGATAGAGACAGAAAGAGGAAGGCTTCCCTTTGCCATGCAGATTGTGCCCCCAAAGAAGTTGGAAGCTGGTGTTATTTTCATACAGTGAGAGGTGTGATGGAAACACTCGCCATGGTCCTTACCAGATTTAGTCGAAGTTGCAGAGCCTCATGCATCATCTGGCGGGCTTTTGTATCATCTTGGTATCTTTCTTCCCTCCAGTTACTTAAGATCTAAGATCAGGAACACAAGAAGAAAAACAATAACAAAAATTGCTTTGTTTTTACGTGTTTATAATTAAGCTTAATAGTGAGAGCTAAAACCAACTTCTTAGCTTTAACAAATTGAAGAAATTTGTTAATTTTTTTATCTTCCTCTTCTTCCACAAAGACAAAATCCTAGCTATTTTATAATGTATTTTCCTGGGTAGCTGAGGGAAGAGAATTTGACCTAATTACATATATGTGCATACATACATACATGCATATTTGGGGGAAAATCCTTTAAAGGGCCATCAAATTAAACATTATTAATTTGGCATTCTGAAGATAAATATTGAAAAGACACAATTCCATTTTTCATTGGTCCCATCTTACACCTCTAGGGACATGCTATAAATCCTAGCAAATGTTTTATTTTTGACATCTTACTGGAATTGATACTTGCTATCTAATGAATAATCTTTCCTGATAAAGAGAATATATGCTATTTTCAAAAAAATGGAGCCCCTTACCCCAAGATTGGTCAAATTTATAAAGTGGACTGCTTCTTCATTTCCTCAAGAGTAGCTCTGGGAAAAGCTTACTAAAGGAAGGCAAACAAGTAGGCCTATCCCCAGAATCAGATGACAAAAGCCAATAAACAAAACTGAACCACAAACCCCTGCCATGCTCTAAACTAATAGTAACTCATGAAAATCACATTAAAAGAGTTACAAAGGGCTGCTGAGATGAATGACTCAGGGAGTGTGAAAACCTGAGTTGGAATTCCACTTAAAGGTGCATGGGAAAGTGGCTCCTGTAATCCCAATATCCCTAAAGCAAGATCAGAGGCAGAGGCAAGAGAATCCCCAGCCACTCACAGGTCAAGGCACATACAGTGACAGGAAACAACAGCGATGTTGTCCCAAGGGAGGTGGAAGGATAGGACCAAGACCACAGATTTTCCTCTAACTTCTGCTTGTAGGCCCTGGTACCCTTATCCCTGCATTCTCTCACCCCTGCATATATTCTCAACCCTCTCCCCACCCCACACAAAGTCTGAAAATGAATCACTTCACAAGTGACAACTATCAACAGCAGAGCTGTAAGTATGCTGGGGAGCTTTCCAAATTGCATGTAAGGACAACACTAGCTTCTTTCTGTCTGTTAAGGTAACAATGCAGTCACACACACACACAAGGCAGTCACACACACACACACACACACACACACACACACACACACACACACACACTCTCTCTCTCTCTCTCTCTCTCTCTCTCTCTCTCTCTCTCTCTCCCTCTCTCTCTCTCTCTCTCTCTCTCTCTGAGCTGACACAAAAGTACTGACTGACAACTCAGCCTGGTGCAACTCTGCTGTCATCCCTGCTAACTGGGAAGCTGACACTGAAATGTTGGAAGTTCAAGGTTCATGTGGCCTACTGAGAGAGATGAAGACCAGCTGGGCAAGACTTTGTCTCAATAAGCTAAAAATGGACTCAGTGGCAGAAAGCTTATCTAGCATGCATAAGGTCCTAGATCCAACCCCAGCACTAAAGAAAGAGGGGAAGGTGAAACAGATATTACTACAGTGAGGACAAAGAATGAGAGCAGAAATACTTAGAAGGTGACCACAGCCTTACTAAGGAGGCAAGGTGAGCAGAGAATAGCAGGAAGGGAGGGAGCAGGTCAGACTAATGTCTCAAAGGCATTGTTCCAGCACAAGCACCTAAACTGGAAGGCAGCCACAGTCTAGCAAGGCTTGAGTGAAAGGGAGAAGAGGTGGGAGAAACAGCAAATGTCCAGTCAGGAAGGGTTCTATTAGCTCAGCCCTGGAATCTGTAGTCTAGGAATTATGAGAAAACATGAATACTTTGTATTTAAATGGCTCACTCTGGAAGCTAGGCAGAGAAAAGATTTCTTCTCATATGCAGTGGGTGTGATGACAAAGAAAACCAAGTAAGCCTAGTGGCCTTGCTCATGTCATCAAATCCTACTTAACATCACAGGGAGGCTTTGTGTCAGGATAAACCAGCTCACACCACCAACTAACACATTTCTTTGATTCTACACATTCTAATTTTTTTTTCTGCTCTCCAGGATTCCAGGCAAACTACCTAAAAAGCAGTATGAGACAACTTACTTTAATAGTCTTTATATATCCATCAATGCATACTTAATACAAAGTTGTTAGCCTCAGGCTGACCATGATGCTAGACAGAACTGGACATGGATTATGTTTCCTAGCACCTCATTGATAGACACGTCTGTCTCATCTCATATTTGAAAGGAAAATAATGAATACAATCAGAAAGATACTGCCTGGCTTAGTACCACACTGCACTTTACCTGATTGACTTGATTCTGCAGAGATGTGAGGAGGCCTTCCCGTTGTTCATCTTGCCCCTTAAGGCAGGTAAGGACCAAGGAGAGGAAAGGTTGCTGACTCAAAAGAGACATACTACAAAGGAAGTAGTAACAGTTAGAAAGAATGGCTTGCACCCTGGTGCAACAGTTAATCTGTCTAGTAGACTCCCTGCCCTTGTTTATTTACTACTAGACAAAGGACAGAATGGCAAACCACCAGAGAAAACTCAGGAAGGTAACACATTTCTGTACTTTACAAGATTAAAAAGCCACTGGAGAAGCTTGTGAATGACGATGCTCTATTGCTCTGTAAGGTATTGCCAAGGCAACAGAAACCTACAGTCGATGTCATGAGCCTGCTTTATGTTACTAGGGAGATTTTTAAATATATATGACAAAGACTACAAGTGTACACAAAGATTAATAAGAAAAATTGAGAAGTTCCTCAAACAAAACTCTCCTTTAGGAAGCACATGTCCCTGTGAACCTTGAATATTTTGGACGCCTATGGGTTTTTGTTGTATATTTCTTAAAGACCAACAGCATAGTCTTGGTAAAGTCAGGGGTGGACACAAGGTCTGAGCCTCCAAAAGCAAGGTTCTTGCTGGAAATATCTAGAGCCAGGTTCTGACACAGCCCATGGCCTCCACTGGAAAAGGGGCAAAAATTCTCTTTCAATTTTCATGTTCATAAAATATCTTCAGTTAGGGAACAATGGATAAACTGATTGATATAGGAAAAATAAAATTTTCTGAAAGAATGGATCTAAGCCAAAACTTTGGATCAGGAGCTTCCTTTTCATAGATGGCCAATAAAGAATGGTCATGGCAGTATTATTAACAGGCAACAAGAATCTCTGTTTTTAAATTTTTATAAAATGGAGAAATTATGACTTTTCTTTTTAAAACTACTTGGATGCTAAATTTATAGGATAAATATTCAGCCTCAATAATATGATCTATTTCCAAAAGTAATTCTTTGAAACCTTTTCTTGGTCATAAAAACAGTTTTGGCAGTTGTTATGACTACTTAAACAAGAGTACAGAGCAAGATTCCTAAATTTTAGAAAATCAGTAATTATTTCAAGGTTGTAGGTCAGAATTAACAGCAAACCCATGTTTCAACAGCTTTGCAGTGATTTGGACACATAGGCAGGAATGGGAACTGGTGCACTAAACATTACTACAAGACCAGACAGACACTGTGGACACTGAGTATGGCATGGCTATGATGCAGGAGGCTAGACTTCATTCAGATGCTAACCTGATGGAAGGCATCCACCAGCATACCTTTTCTGTTTCTGCCTGTCTCTTTCCTTCTTTGAAGAAGAGCCCAGGTGCTGCCCCTTCTCCAGCTCTTCCCCAGCAGCTTTCAACACTCTTCCCTGTACGGAGGTTGGCAGCCTGGCGATGAGGGGGGCCACCAGCCACACACCCCTGCGTTCAGAGGAACTAAAATCAGAAACAGGCGTTACACCTAACAAAGCAGCTGGTCTCTGCTCTCACAGTCAATACAAAAACCCAACAGTAAGCCAGTAGGACACAGACTTCTAAAATTCCCCTATCATGTCTGTACTTTCTCCTCTTGCTAAAGACCAAGACATCTGCTTACTGCTTATACATTCCACTCACATTCATTGCGGAATAAGAGGTGCTGTTCTGGGAAGATATTTTCCATACTAAACAGTTCTCAGTGACTCTCCTGGATCCCTCATTTCTGATCACTCACCACCCTTTTCTATGGACACTGTCATGGACACATGTTCAAGCCAAGGAATAACCAATCTTTAAATTCTAAAACTCACTATTGAACTCTTTTACCAAAATTATGGTATGCAAACCAATCTGTCTTTCATAATGAAAACAATTACATTATGATTTCATAATCACATCAAGTGCTATTATGAATGCAAATTACTGTATTTGTACCCAAACTACCAATTAATAAAGACACATAGAGAGTATTTCATATTTAATGACTGGCCCAAAGTCAGTAATACTATAAATCAAACTTAAGTTCATCTCTGGCTCCAAAGTATCTGGACCTACAACAAAATACCTAAAGTGCCAAGACATCACTCACTTTGCCCTTTAACTTGTCGAATAACCCAACTGTCACTTAAAGCAATACCTTAAAAATGTCTTTATTCCATTCTGTCTTGTGCTACTTGTATCAGCACTTCCAATACCATTTGGGTTGAAGAGGCTTATGCCAGAACTTGGGGCATTGTTATTTAGGTCTGCAGACTGCTGGAACACTTCTATCGTTGCCTTTGCAATATTGTCCAGTAAGTTGTTCATTTCGGCCACAGAACCAGAACTCTAGAGTCAGGGAAATGAAATAAAGTTAGCCTTGATTTTCAAATATCAATGACTCTTTTGCTTTTTGATTTGATCCACATGTGTGCTTTCAACATATACTCACAGGGTCCTTCAAGCACTGTTTGATCATTAATTGAAGCTCTAGCCAGGACTGTCTCAATGTCCACTGCTCAAGATTCTGGAGAAAATATGGAGAATATAACATTAAGAACACTGAGCATATGCTGCCATAGCCTTGCAGTAATACTCATGGCCAGCAAGAGAATTCACATGGATTAAGGGCTTCCAATCTCATACCTGATGAAATAAACATTCATAACAAAATAGATTCAAGCTTCAAAATATGTTCCCCACCCAACTAGGAACTAGGAGTCAGATAAGCATGGGATCTCTAAAAATGTATTTACAAATTAGCCAATCTCATTCCAAAATGATGTATTTCTTCAATAACATATTTAAGACTGACCATCATAAAGGTTATTTCTCAAATAAATATATCACTGACCTAAAATACCAATATTTACCTGTGATTATATGCTGTTTGCTACTGACTATATCTACTAACTAGTCAACTGTGACAATAAAGAAAATTGCAGAGCAGAAGTCAGAATTAAATTCAAGAATCAGATGAAAACAGCAACAAAGTAGTTCTTTCTACAATCATATTCTGATGAATGGCCTAAAGAGACTCTTTGGAATGTGCCACTTACCTGAAGAATGCGCTTAATGTGCTGTCTTTGCAGGTTGTCCCCCTCTGTGCACTCTTTAATGCCATGAGGGTAACAGATTAGCTGCAGTAATTTCTGTGCTTGCATGTTTGAAAGCACAGGGTCCAAAATCAGTTCTTTGTCTGTGCATAATCGCTCTGGTTCTTTTAAGCAATGTTCTCCTACCCATTCCTAAAACACAAGCCAGCAGTTAGATGGGTAAGTATGGATTCTACCTGCCTATGTATTATAGTCTCCTTTCTCAGAGCAAAATGCTATACGGCTAGTAAGAACCATCCAATGAAAACAAATTAATGGAAAAATAGGTGGAGAAAGGTTTGCGTGTGTAGATTTGATGCTTTGGTTGTTGTTTGTGTTTGTTTTTAGACAAGGTCTCAGGTATTCCAGGATGGCCTCCAATTCGCTAAGTGGCCAAGAACAACCTTGAAGTATTGATCCTTCTCCTGTGTCCAGTGCTGGAATGACAGGCCTAAATTCAATGCCAAGTCTTCCTTCCTACCAGGGCTTCCTGAATGCTGGGCAAGCACGGTATCAAATAAGTTACACTGCCAGCTAATGCAGAAAGTTTCAAAACAAAATTCTAACATTCTGACATCTTAATACAATATGGGAGCAACTTTTATTACAGCAAAAACTTTTAAACATATGGGGGATGGCGTTAAGTTTTGGTGTACTTTTTAAAATGAGGACTTACTCTAAAGTATTATTTTGCAGACAGGTTTTGTTTTGCTGTTGTTTGTTTTTACTTGGTATATAATGACAATGATTTTATGCTAAACATGCTTTTCATCATTTTATGGGATATATTCTGCTAAACAGGTAGAACACAGCATGTAAATATTTAGAAGGTCACCTTCCTCTTGGCACTGGCATCTTTTCTTTACCGTTTTTTCCTTTATTAAATGGCATAAGAAAATGTCAGCATTAGAGCTCAATTTGATTCCAAATCTGTTTCAAATGAAGTCTCTTTTGCCAATGTATCAGTTGCCCAGCACAGATTGTTCACTGATGTCAACTGGGAGTTATGTAACTCCATGTTTCACATTAGCAGCATTAAATCACACTCAGACAAGGTACCCAGATATCAGTGTGTTGCTTCTCTAGGTATCAAATTATTTATTTGCTGACTCACTGACTTTATTTATTTATTTATTTATTTATTTATTTATTTATTTATTTATGGATGGCTGCTGGCATTGTAGGATAGGCCAGAAGCCTCCCACAGGAATTGGAACAGACCCTCTTGGAACAATAGACATGGTCAGCACCACCTATCTCCAAGCATATAGAGATCCATAAACAGCCCAGTGATGCCACTGTGTGCTCACAGTTGGGAAGTGGCACAGGACAACTGTTAATAACCAAGGAGCTGTTTAAATTTACCATAATCAAAAAATACCCAAGTAAGAATGTATCTAGCCAGGCGTTATTGGCGCACGCCTTTAATCCCAGAACTCGGGATGCAGAGACAGGCAGATCTCTGTGAGTTCGAGGCCAGCCTGGTCTCCAGAGTGAGTGCCAGGATAGGTTCCAAAGCTACACAGACAAACCCTGAGTTCAATTCCCAGCAACCACATGCTGGCTCACAACCAACCATCTATAATGAGACCCAGTGCCCTCTTCTGACATGCAGGCAGAACAGTGTGTACATAATACATAAATCTTAAAAAAAAGAGAGAGTTTTGAAAGTATGGAAAGATAATTAGAAAGTCCCAACGCTAATCACCTGTGCAGAGCCAGACAGGAAGAAGATGCTGGGCAGGGGACTGGTTACTGTGTATGCTTTTGGCTGAGCTTTGGCTTTTGGATGTATGCTATGCTATGGACACTAGTTAAGACAAAAAAAAAAACCAAAAAGGAAAAAAAAAGCAAATAAAAGAGATACTAATTTTGAAGAAGAATGTTTCCACTCCAAGTGAAGGAGCCTGCAAAAGCATTTCCTTCCTTCTTCTCTCTCTCCGAATAATATTTAATAATCTTAAACCCTTCAGAAAAATGAAACAGCAAACCAATATTTGGCTTTCTCAGGAGGCCTTTTTCCTAGTGGTATATGTGTGACAACTCAGAAACTACCTTAGGTACTGTATAGGGAACAAAGCTATTATTTGACAAAAATGCAATACTAATATGAAATGGACGAATGTAAAACACAACTTTAAAGGATTAGAACTAGAATTATCAACATGAATTCATAATTACACACACACACACACACACACACACAAATAAAGAAAATAAGATCTGGGTTGTATATGCTCATTGTTGTAGGGTACCACTGCTAGACAGCTGAGTTTGGTGTGTGTGTGTGTGTGTGTGTGTGAGAGAGAGAGAGACAGAGAGAGAGAGAGAGAGAGAGAGCACTGTTCATGGTGGGTAATGCTCATGTATGTAGAGGCCAGAGATTGATGACAGGTATCTTCTAAGTTCAGTCCTTTGTCTACCTTATATACAAAGGAAGCATCCATTAGCTGAACCCAGAGCTCACAGATTCAGCTTTTCCTAGCCAAGTTATCCCTGGATCCTGTATCTCCACTCTCTGAATGCCGGGATTACAGGTGGGCTTCCATGGCCACCTAGTATGTACAAGAATTATAAGGATCTGTATTCCAGGTTCTACACTTGCATGGCAAGCACCTTACTCAGTGGTCTATCTCTCGGGCCTCGCTTTCTGAGTCTCTTAACAGGTAGAAACAGCACTGCTTGTAAGGATGACTGATGATAGCTGTGAGGCAGGGAAGATGGGAGATGGATAAACTAAGGCAATAGTTCTCTAAAAAGACAAAAATATTCCAAATATCACAAAAGGTGGAATAAGAGATTCCTAATATACCAGCATAGAATAATTTGATATTAAAGAAACTCTGGCCAACATATTATAATCTACATAGATAATTAAATAAACACAAGTGAACAATCACAGAAGAAAGGTAAGGTCTTTGAATAACACAAATTGATATTGAGGAGGGAGAGGAGGAACTGGAAGGGAAAACACAACATTCTGCAGCCTTTATTACAATAAAGACTAGTTTAGATAAGAATTACCATGGATGCTTATGAGGAATGAGGCCTATGATGAGGATCAGAACATTTGCATCACCTCAAAGTGTCTTCCCACAGATTACTAGTTAACTGAAGAAGGAAAAACACTAGCACCATAGTGGAGCAATCTTGAGTCTAGAGGTGCCATGATTATAGCTAGCATCACCATCAGGTCAAATGTACACTGTGTGTAATCAGAAGTGTTTACTTGGAATACTACGATGTTACCTCTGAACACTCCTCTCCAATACTCTGAAGCTAATCTTTAGAACCTTATGCAAATCTTACACCACTAGAGTTAAGTCAGAAAGTTCCCTAGAGATGAGAAAAAAATTATTGCACCAAAGCTAAAAGTTTTGCTAACTTTACTTTGATTATGACAAGAAATGAAATCTAAATATCTAAAAGTAAAGCACAGTAAACTATAACATCTACTTTTCAACTGTTAAGAAAATATAAAACATCCAAAATTAATGAATCTGTATAGAGGATATGCTGGAAGTCTTCATCATTGCAACTCTAAAAATTTGAAATTACTTCAAAATAAAGTTATAAAGACAAAAAAGGATCACCCAAATTTAATTTTTAAAAAATAGCAGACAGTCATCTCTCAAAGAACAGTTACATGGTCAGAGTAGAAGCCATTTGAAATCAAAAGAATATACCTGTTGGCAGATAGTCCTCAGTACATATCTAGCATATTCTCTTAGGTTGGCAGTTTCTATGGAAATGCTTTTCCCATAGGATTTTGAATTCTGTGAGGTGGCCCAGGCATCTTCAGCATTCCCATCACGTCTTAAACCCCTCATGTTGAAGTCATCATTCTTTAAAGCATTGACATTGTTACTGCCAATTTTGGCATCTCCTAAATAACAGAATCACAAAAGCAAAATCACAGAAGATTAGAATATTGCCTCAAATATGAAATAGGCAAATTAGGCTAGGTTTCAGGGATTTGAAGACATAAATGGTATTACTTTTGCATAGCCAGTTTTCCAGCAACAGAAAGAAAGGATCAAGAGTTAAATGAAAGAAAACAAAACAATTGGACATGGAGAAAAGTCAAACTCAAGACTCATTCCTTCTTTTGGCTTATAGACTTAATATTCTTTTGACAGCCTTGGAAAGGCCATTATGAATGGCATTTATAGTCAAAACACATTGATTTCACCAAAATTTCAAGCAGGAATGTACTCAAGTTTATCTGAGTTATAGGCAAGGAAGAAAATGGGTTACTCACCCTTCTAGAAGTCCCTTTTCCATTTCTTCTCTTACAATCACTTATTTTCTATCCATAGGTCAAGAGAAAAGTTTTGCCTTAGCCCACCTTACTATCAACTTCTTGACAAGAGAGATTTATTTCCCTGGGGATGGAAAAGGGCAATGCATACTAAGGAGGCTCTGGAAAGCAGAGCTCTCTGAACAGAGCCTTTGTCTTCCACCTTCCTCTCTATAGCATCCAGCTCAGAGACCTTATTTGACCAACTGCTAATACACTTGAGTACTATGAGGTTAAGGAAGGTATTTGACTCCTAACAAAATTCTGTGAGAAAACCAAAACCAAAAACACTCAGCAGGGTATACTTGGATAAAACAAGAAATTTCTACCCATGAGAGAAGAGATAGAGAGATAATTTGGTAGTGAGATTGCCAGACAGAAGCAAGGCCTTCAAACTTTTACCTGCTTACCTAGAGAAATCAAAACAAGCTTTGACAAGACAATTGTCACACCAGCAGCTGAGTTCAGGGGAGGCCTTTACCATATGCCATAGGGAGTAAAAGCAAGCCCAGGTCAGTGCAAAAAAAAACAAAACCAAAAATAACAACAACAAACACTAAAACACAAGGTCAACCCCTAAAAGGTTTTGATTCTGTTGAAAAAACAAACACAAACTGTAACTCTTTTCTGGGGAGAAAGGATAACTAAATGTCATAATTAATATCTACTTTCAAAAATCTCAGAAGCAGGGGAGGGATTGAGGCTGTCGTTCAGTGTAGTCATGAGACCTTAGTCTCTATCTCCATCACTGTTGCCACCACCACACAATGACAAAACAGAAAAATCATAGAAGCAAAAATAAGTGATACATTTCAATTTGCCAATATATTATCATATATTCATCATATATTTTAAAATGTAAGGAATTGTGGCTTTACCAAAGGGAGTTTAATTACTTAAACAGAGATTTTCAAAACTAGCAGAAGTATGTTTTTTCTACTCTTGGATGATATAGTTATGTCTATCTCAAATTAAATTAGGAACAAAATTCACTATAATAGTCTTATTGTCTTGCCTTAATACATATTTTGGTAGATAGGAATTAGGAGAAAATTGGTTAGAGTCAATAAAGTAAATAAAACCTCTCTGCAAGAGCAAAACCAAGCACATTTTTCAGACCAACTTGTACATATCCATTTCCTTCAGGTATAAGGAGGACTGAAGTCTGCATGACCGCTAGTTCCTTCTGCAACTGTGTAGACAATGAAACAAACTAAATATTCTATGTGATCTATCTAAGGCTTCACTGACATTTAACTGTGCTGATCAAAATTTCTCACACCAAGAACCGCCCAAATTATCTGAATATCTAAAAAATCTGGCAGCCATACTGGGACTAGCCAAATTGTACAAACAAGGGGCCACTGTCTAGATGAGACTCATCATTGTGTACACCACTGAAAAATGTTACTACGCATTCATACTTCCAACATAAGTTTATTGAAAATCTCTTTTCCATTTTCTCTGATGAGACTTAGAAATAGCCCAGGAGAAATCCAGTTCCTGCCTTCATGACCCTGGCAATTTTTAGTCAGTGAAGTTGACCAGTTCTCCTACCCTTCAAATGTTATCAGAGTAGAGAAATCATACTGGCTGAAATCGGTAGTTAGCATGAACTACATAATCTTATAAAATCCTAAGCACAGAAAAGAAGCTAGAGCATTCATGGTAGTACTACCTTTAGTTTTGCTACAAAATTCATGACCATTTAATAAAAAGTATGGTTGCTTTTCATTTAATTTTTTTCATACAATATATATTGGTCATATTTTCCCTCCCAACACTTCTCAGATCCTCCCATTTCCATACCCGTCCAACTACATGTTCTTTCTCTTGATCTCTTTCTCTCTCTTAAAGAAAACCCAAAACAAAAAATGAAAATGAAGACAAAACCATAAGACAAAATAAATGTAGCAAAACACAACAAAAAGTCCACAATAGAAAGCAGAGTCCACTTTTTGATGGTCAGCCGTTCCTTGGCATGGATCCTGTCTTGGAGTATGGTTGATATATATAGTAACATTCAATTGGAGAAAATGGAAAAGAATGCCTTTTCTTTCTTAATATATATTCTTTTTAACTGATTTTAATAGGCTTTTATGAAGACTATGCTATTATTCTTTGCCATCCACAAATAACATCTGTCAAGCAAGGTAAGGTTATATTATTTGTGTTATTTAAGGTTCACCTAGACTGGCATCTGTTCATTCAATAATTCTGCTTAAATCAAAAGGAACTACTTAAGAATATGAAATGGTCACTATTGTTTGGTTAAGGTAAAAATGAGGTACCCAAAGTTAAAAGTAGGCAACATTTGAGATCCCCTAATCAATCAAATCCTTTATGACTTACATACTAAAAATATTCGGAGGTGTTCCACTGCCCATGAGTAGAAGGCAGTGCTATTACTCTAGCAAAATATGCACAAGTAGGAATGTAAAGGGCTTCGTGGGTATCATTCATTAGATCTGAAGCCCGCGCACCTCCTACTGATCATTGGCAATACTAGCATCATTGTGGCTCCACCTGTTTCATAAAAAACATATCGTAGGTTGATATGAACTTGTTCAGAGTTACAAAAGAAGCAGAGACACTAGGTTAAAACCCAGGTTTTCTGATGTTCTGCATCTGGAATATAATCTGACCAAAATTTAAACTTTTAACTAAAAATGTCATTATTCTTGTCTATCATGAAGAGTGATTTACATCAGAATGAAGTACCATGCAGTTAAAACCAAACACACAATACTTATATTTCAGTTCTCCCCAAGGTCACCTTAGCTAAGGGACAGAATCCTTGAAGTTCCCATTACTTACACTTAGGCAAAGACAATCATCTTTTCCAGGACAAACAAACAAAAACCCTAGGTTTCCAATGACATTAGGTAGATTTCACTGTGAATACAAATCATTTTTGCCTCCACTTCTGGTGATTAACCAAGAGGCTAAATGCCAGGATAGTCTTACCAAGCATCATAATTGCTTTTAAGACAGCAAAAACTGCTCCCACTTCTATGCTGTTGTGAGCGGCGGCTAAGAGGTGTCTATCACAAGATGATCTTATTCCAGGGAAAGGTTTGCCTATGAAAACAACAACAAACTTTTAACGGCCTTTTCAACATCATTAACCATCTTCTGTTACCATTTACACTCAGTAAGGTCTTTCATTGTTAGCTTGTGGGCACTTAACTGACATTAGTTTGCTTTAATTGATGCTCCACAGACTCACTAAGAAACACTGCCAGTATTCTTACTTAACCCTTTCTCTTTAATTATTATTAAAACAATGTTCTTGCTCCCCAGAGAGATGTAGGAAAAAGATTAGTAGAATTCCCACACAGATGCATCCATCTCTATATGGAAATGATTTAGTGCAAGACTTTACTAATACCCCCCACTGCCTTAGGAAAAAGTAAATAAATGAGCTGTCGTCCACCTAAGGTGAGACAGCATGGCCCAGAATCAACACCGGCTATGGAAGAGGATGAGACTTCTCTCCAGCACGGTATTTCCTAAGAGCTCAGGCATTTTTATTGTTTATTAATTCCTCATGTTATTTCCCAATATGTCCTCATATTACACAATGAGAGGTGTGGGCAGACCTTACAGTGGCAATATCTCAGTCCTGCATCATCTGCAGATCAAGCCCATGGAAGCCAGGGAGGAAACTACAAACTGGACAGCTCCCTTGGTCACAGCAGAACCCAAAGTTCCAAATACACAGAAGCAGAGCTTCCTCTGAGGTCAGCTCACCTGTTGCTTGAGGGAAAAAGCAGGCCTGGGGAGCTCGGAAGAGGTGAAGCAGGAGGCGGCATGTCATTCTTGCCCCTGGCTCTGCATCTGCATCTCCACAAGCTGGGAAAAGGGGGAGATTAAAAGCAAGATTCCTCACATACTCCCCAACAAGCTTTTCAGGTTTTCCCCTGCTAAAATTTCAGTAATACATTAAATAAATTCTCCTCTGAACTAAGTTTACCTTTCCAAGGAACTGTCAGGCTGCCTTAAACCAAGTATAAAGCAATAGGGGATTCCTGTTCAGTTCATTGTTACTCTGCATAAAACAGCCACTCCAGTTATACCATTCCCACCAGGTATCCTGCCACCCTAATCCCCAATATGGTCCTTTCTCCATGCTTAAGTGACTCCCAACCAGCAACCAATAACACATGCTACTCTGGGCCGGCTTACCTGCTGCTAACAGAGAGGGAAGGGCGACATGTTGCACGACGTCCTCCAGGGAGAAACACTGTCGTGCTATCAGGATAGCAATGAAAGTAGCTAATGAATCATGGAATGAAAGGTCACTCACCTTTAAGAAAAACATTGACAGGTTTTAATACCCAACACCCTTTAATACAGTATCAGAGACCACTATCTAAGAGAATACTGGCAAGACAATAAGATCTCAAGTAAGAACCAACAGAGGGAAATGACTTCAATTAATGTCTTCTTGGGCCTATGTCTATGATAATAAGACAAAGCAAGTTTACTCAGATCCCAGTGATCTAGGAGGATGCTGACCTTTAACTTATTTGCATGCAACTCCAAAAATATAACGCAAGAGCAAAATCAAGAAGCTACTAAAAGATATGTCATAATTGGTAGCTGCCAATTGAATGTACTATGTTATTTATGGGTAAGGCAGGAAGCAGGAGAAGATTCCCCTAGGGGGAAAACATGACCCACTAACACTTGAACATTCTTTTCTATTACAACTAATGAGTTTTTTTTTTAATATGAGAGAATTCATTTAAAAAGGACTCTGAAAGTTTTCAATAGGCTACTAAATTTAAAGAGAAAGATGAGAGAAGGGGGAGAAAAATTACTCCTGCCCCTGTGAAATCTCTACATTCCAGATCTCACAAGCATTGGAAGATAATACAAAGGGAACACAACTATCACAATGGCAAGCTCCCAAGGGATCGTTACTCGATGCAGCAAGTCACAAAATTAGATTTAAGAAAAACTTAGGTCTTTGTTGTGTGGAAAAGCAGGCTACTACAATAGACTACAACTAATAGCTTAATCCATAGAATGAAGATAAGGATGCAGGACTGTCATTCAGTCCCAAGACAGAAGAAACAGGAAATGAACCTCAGCTCTAGAACTATCAGGTTTCTTTAATAACATATACAAATTTCTGACAAAGATGACTAAGATAAAAGCATAAATGGGTAAAGAATACACAACGATGTTTAAGACATAAACATCATGGGTGCAATCTGGAACTCCAGGAAGTCATGTACGTGATTTGGACAGTCGCTCCATCACTCCAGGGCACACTCTGAGATACACTGAATGTCCTCTGAGTCTACACATGGCTTTTCTTATGGAAAATAAAAACATCTATATTCTTAAATATATACGGGTTCTCTTCATGTATGAAATGCTTTATGTCCTGTTCTGAGGAATCCAAGCCAGAAAAGAACAAAACAGCTCTGAGACCATTCACATATAAAACCTCAGCTGCCAGAACATATTGGAATTCCTTCTACTCCTTCTATTTATTTTGACTTTTTAACTTATTTAATTCATGGTTATGACACTATGGTTTGTCACTTTTGAAAACAGAAAAATATTTTTGCTTTGTTACAGTTTAGTAAATTAAGTAGTAAAAAAATATTAGCTAAATTTTAAATTGTGGTTTTAAAATAAAGAGAAAACTTACATCCACAGTGCAGAGTACATCATTAAATCCCCACACATGATTTGAAGAACAACAAAGAGCCTTCAGAACCCCCAGCCACTCTGAACTAAGTACTGTACAGCAAGCAGTTAACTCAGAGGAGAAATTGGCTATGTCATTTATCCTGGAAAAGAGAAAGAAGATAGCAGAAAGTGATTTGGTACAAATGAGGAATGATTACACGTGACTTCTTTATTGAATACATGTTTCATTATCATTAAGCATCACTTAGGTTTAAGGATGTAATTAATACCACTTGTCAAGTAACATATAATTAGCACAAGTGAATTAGCATATTTTTGATTCTATGAGTAAATTTGATCTCTACTTTTGCATTTTATAGTAATCAAAAATTAAGGACACAGGGCTGGGGATATATTGTATACAAGATCCTGGACTCAATCCCTAGTACCACCAGGATAAACAGTTAAAGACATTATGTAATATAGGTAGGCCCAAGTTTATGTAGGCCTACCTATGTAATATAGGTAGGCCAATATTTCACATTAAAATATAGTATTCTTTTCAAAATTGTATATGGTTTTCATAATGGAGCACAAATACAAAATATCCCTTGCCAAGCCAAGAATCCAAAAGTCACTGTTTCTTGGGTTAATGATATTAAGATATAGCAGGGGTACAACCAGGAATAAAGAAAAGCAAATGTGAGCTCAGGTAGCTATTAAAGAAATGCCAAAGTAACGCCTCCTTGATTATTCATGCAAACAGGGCAAAGAAACTCACCGGCCGGCATCCTGGTGTCCCATGCACACATTCATGAGTGTGTTGCAGACAAAGCTGTACCGATTGGCAGCATTGTCACTGAGGATCTTGCCCAGCATTGAGTAATTGATGCTTCTTGCTGAAGGATTCTCAATAAAATCCATCATAAAGTCTGGATCCCAGCGTAAGTTGGAATTGGCAGGCATTACGTTATTATATATGGTCTGCTTTACTTTTGAACAGGCACTACTAAGATTAGGAAAAAAATAGTTACAAAAGGACAAAAAGAACAAAACAACCAAGAAAAATCACTTCTCTTAAGGGCATGTTAAGTGGCAGCAACTCTAAGACTTTCCTAGACAATCCAGATCCTACAATTACTAATTTCAAATTCTTTATAAACCAGCATTGGGTACAATAGGGTATAGTCCTTGTTCAGTGAAGAGTTTTTGAATAAATATGGGGAAGCAAAATGAGATATTTAATTACTAAGATTAATTATATTCTAAATCTTTTCTACATGTATATGCTCTATAAACATCAATGTATTTACTAAGCTACCTAACAACGTTTTGTTCTTTCCTTTCTTTTTTATTTTAGATTTATTTATTTACTGTATAAACAGTGTTCTGTCTGCATGTACCCCTGCAGGCCAGAATCTCCAGTTTCCAACTGTCTATTTCTTAAGAGTAGTTGTAAAGTGTTATAAACTAAGAATAAAAATGGATCCAATTACACACCAGGAAAAATTTAGTGTTTTAATACTAACTGCAAACCCCAGACCCTATTCTTTTGGGTATAGTATGCCTAGTGGCAGCTCCTGTACCCAAGCTACTATGGGAAATAGGCCACAGCTGTGTCAAGTAGAGGTGAATCTCCTGCATTCACAGAGCTCGCACTCCGCATATAGATAATACATTCTATGGCATGAAAAAAATGTAGAACATTTTTTTGTTTCTCAGCAACAAGAAAAAAAATGTAAGACAGTTGGGTGTAGCATTATACACCTTTAATCCCAGCACTTGAAAAAGAAGAGGGCTATAAATTCCAGGCAGTTGGGGCTATATCCTTTATTTCTAATCTTTCTGTGAAACAAGCAAATGTGTTTTAAGAGCCTGCTCTATCAACCGAGAATTTACAGTGGGTTACAACTGAATAGACATGAAATACTAGAAATAAATGAGAAGTAGGATGTATTCCCCATCATTTCTCCATAAACAAGAGAAGCAATGATGTAATTCCTAAGAGTTGATTCCATATGAGCCCAGCTACTTACTCCCTCTTGCTGTGAACCCTAAATCCATAAGCAGCATCCCTATCCTACTCAAGAACTCTGCTATGCAGCAGGCATTTTTGGGGGAATCAAACTTCTGGCAGATGAAATTTTTGTTATTGGGGCAACACATAGATCTAATAATTCTTAGAAGCTCAGACAACTCTGCTTTTCCTTCTTAATTTTGAGATCCACTCCACTTTGCCCCCAGATTCCCACTTCTCTGGAGTGCCTTTCTGGCTGGACACTGGACTTCTCTAAGCTCGGACTTATTCTCTCTACCTTTCTTTCCTAGACTTCTTCTCTCTTTATCACACTTTCCAAGAGGTGCTTCTATGTGTTAATAATATGCTGGCTCCCACTGGGACTATTCTCTCATTCCTCCCACTCTGCGGCCTACACACAGGGAATGAAGCCAGAAACGCAGACATGTTCCTTCTGTAACTGCAGTCTCAGAAAAAGCTGATAGACTAATGAGAGCAATGGATGCCCTGAGGTCATAAAACTTGTTTTAAGTCCTGGCTTCATCATATGTCAAAAATGACAAGGAGCAACAAGTTGTGGGTAAGGAAACTCACTTCTACTTCCTGGGATTTTGACAATTCACAATCTTAATAGAAAAACAAGCACAGTGCTTGGCACAAATGAGCTCAAGTGGCAGTAGAAATGGTTAGTGTTATGCTCCCCCCCAATCTTAGTCCCTAAACAACTTTATGGTGTTTTAGATAAAATTATTAAAATATTTATTACTACTATACTAATAGAAATCTCCATCACATTTAGCTTCTTTTTTAAATGTTTTTCCTAACTCCCCCACAGGGCTACAACTACACAATATCCCCAGAAAGCTGCCTTCTTTTCCTCTTCTTGAAGACAGTGCATACATTGTCTGTGATGCCTACCCTGCTGATGTTAAGGGCACCTTAGCCCACTGCTAGACTCCTAAATATAAATCCTGTGCACATTACTTAATGAATTCACTTAGACATCCTGATACTACATTGCAGGAGCAGTAGGGACTGGCCACCATTAGAACCAGGGATGTTGCAAAGAGCCCATCTTCAATGAGAATACTCTTTGAGAAATATAGACTAAAAATTCAAAATGCAGTCATAGAAGAAAATGAAGTATTTTTATTGTTATACCATTCCCATGAAAAGTTTCCTAAGACTCATTCAAATATTTTTACAAAGGATCATTTTAAACAAAATGGTAACATCTTCCATAGTTTTTTTTATTAATACAACTAATCTTTTGTTCAGCAGCAGTGCAATTGTGCAATGGTAGTATAGACAAATTGTTTTTTGTGACAAAATGCAGTAATGCCTACCAAGAATTATGCAATCTTCAAAACTTTGGGATAAAAGAATGAGCAATACAAGCTCTTGGGAGATTTGCATCCCAGAGAGGAGCCAAACCATAAGTAAATACATAATGTATGAGCAACAACCAATACTGAGGTTTCCAGAATGACCAACTGAAAATGGGTTGTTATTTAAAACAAAGCTGTTGCAGAGCAAGGCCCAGAAGGTGTGTAGCAGTGCACATGCACCAAACTGGGACAAAGCACCACACGCAGGGAAAGAGAGGCAGCAAGCAGCAAGTGATCTGGTTGTGAGCACCAGAAAGGAGGTATCTGGGGTCCGAAGAGAACACACTAAAGCAAAGGGCACAAGAGAGATGGAAGCCAACAAATATAAAAGGCCAGACCAGAATTCCGAGTAGTATATTGCATAGATGATAATTATAGATACCTTGCAGCCATTCTGGTCTGAAAGAATGACTTCAGCATATGTGCTGAGAATATGCTACAGTGAGTCTGGGTAAAGGCAGTGAAGCTAGTGTGGAGGACTCTGCAGTTTGGTCCAACCAAGAGATGCCTATGATGGAAGTGATGGGGATATTGAAGAGTGATCAAATGCAATGCATACATGAAAGACAGAGCACCAGGTACTTATGAGAAAACTGAACATCAGGCAAGGCAGAACAGAGAAAACCATAACTGACATGTCTTCCACATTCCTTCGGAATTCCCAACACCCTCTGACACATTTCCTCAACAGCACTTAGTATCTAGCACCTCTGATGCCTATGAAAGCACCAATGCTAAGCAAGGGATGAAAGGAATTGGGGAATCCTACTAAAATAGACAAGCAAGGAATTAGGGTCACAAATGAAGAAGCCAGCATGCAAAGACCTCTGAAAGAATGTTCCAAGTGAGGTCAAAGCAAAGGGAACATACAAAATGTGTTCATTCAGGAAACTATAACCACAGTTATACAAACAGCCATGTGTTCGAACAGGAGGCTCTAACAATCACAAAAATTAATTCAATCTGAACACTGAATCAGAGGTCTGAGAAGATAAAAGTATGAAGTTTATTAAGCTAAAACCTTTTTGGATGCATTAAAAAAAATGTTCCTAAAGCAACACAATTAATTGATAGGAGTAAAATTCTTGGCAGGATAATAGTTGCAATATAAAGATACAATAACCAGCATGCCAACTGCATATTTAACAGCATCATCTCATAATCCACACAGGTCCATCTCTCTCATGTTACAAACATCAACATTTATCAAACTGTAACTGCGTTGAATAAAATAGGCAATGCAAATAATTGCTTTTAATTAATGTTGAATTTAAAGAAGAGCTGGCCTTTTATTAGAAGCTCATCCACATATGAAGATGTGATTTGCTAATGAGTAAACTAATTTTAAAAAGAGAAAATAAATTTTAAAACACTGGGTTGGGAAGTGGTAGAAGATTAAAGATAAGGTGCCTTAATGAATCCCCAGGAAGTGGGAGGACTTTGTTACTTCACGATGTACGAAGAATAGTAAAGCCAAAAGTAGCACGGGAAGTCTGCTAAGGGGAGATGTGAAACCAAAGAAGGATATGGCAGAAAAGCAGGGCCTTGATGAGCTTTCTCTGAGACATTATTTTTCCCAAGGCAGGATTTCTCTGTGTAGCCCTGGCTGTCCTGGAACTCACTGTGTAGACCAGCAGAGGCCTACCTGCTTTTGCCTCCAGAGTGCTGGGATTAAAGGTGTGCACTACCACTGCCTGACTTCTGGTCAGATTTTACAATTTAAATTCTTTTTTAAAGTAAAATAGGAATATATGCCAAAATCACTCTTGTCTATGCATTTAAAGGTCCTGTAATCACATACTTAAGCGTATTGTCACTAGGTATTTTAACCTTCTGTTTCAATGACTTGAGACAACCAAATACTTGAGATTAGCTTTCACTGGTACATAGGGTGTAAACAGCAATGGGGACTTTAACAAACACAGGCGCGTTTGTGTCAGTGACTTATTACTTTCCTCCTGCTCACCTGAAAAGGTCTCCAAATTTACTTCTGAGGTGGCTACATGACACATAGAGGTCGTAGAGGTAGGCCAGGATACATCTTTCCGGGGAGGAGCATTCTGAGGGATTGACAACATGCTTCACCACACCACACAGCCTGAGGATAGAGACACAGGAATAAAAAAGGCACATGTCTTGATAGTATGCCAGTAACTCTTTAAAGCGAGAGTGTGTCTGCCTAATACTTGGAGATACGCGTCAGCAATAAAAAAAAAAAAAAAGGGGGGGAAGAAGGAATGGGGGTGAGGGGAGGGAGAGGGAGAGGGGACTTACATGTGAAACAAGCCTGTTCCCTAACTTGAATTAATAATAATAATAATAATAATAATAATAATAATAATAAGAGAAAAAATCAAAAAAAGAAACCTGATTGTTCTTAAAAATATGAAGTCATTAAACATCAATTTTTGTTATGCTGAATACGAGACAGGTTTTAAAACAAAAACGGCCAGAAACATCACTGACAGTGAGAAACGAAAGTAATGAAAGGACTTCCCCAGCACTTTGATGCATGCAGGACTTAAGTTGCTGTGACTACAACACATAAGGAAAGGGTAGGCAGAAAAGTTGAAGCCAACACAAAGTTTCACAAATTCAATCAGTTGGCAAAGATTGCCAAGTTCACTAATTTGAAAAGAAACAATGCTTTGATGCAGGAAATCTGCTGAACTTGATGAATTCATAGTTTGGACTCCCATCCCTCTTGTTTATCCTAACTACAGGCCAATGTATCTTGTTTTATTGTATGTGAGAAATGAAAGTCCATTCTCTTTAGAGGCAACCTCTATAATAATGCCTTTATTTCCAAAGTATCAATACCACAGTCATTTTCCTCCATTCAAAACCATGGATTCCTCTGTTCTTAGAACATGGATGCTGGTATGACATAGAAGGGAACACATGTGGTTCATCCAGATATATCTGACTCTACCACCACCTAGTACCCAACATAGAACTTGGCATGTTACCGCTAGTGTTACAGATAACCCAAGCTCTGAAAAGAGTTTAATAGTCTTCCAACTCATCACTCTCGATTTACAGAGGGCTGTCAGGTGAAATGACTTAATAGAGAAAGGAAAGGGAGATTAGGTTCCCTGTGCATAGTGGACCACTCTGCCCCATTCAGAAGACAGCCTAGGAAAACCGGGAGGTAGTCTGCCATATGCAGGCCCATTAGGAACAGGAACTCTCTAGCGTTAGAGATGGATACCAGGAGAATGAAGGAATGCCAATGCAGTGTCCCAGTAAAGCAGAAGGAATGTCACTAGATGGGACATTTGGTGATTATCAAAGAGAGCAACAGGTGTAAGAGTCACACAGTTTAAGAGAGAAGCAAAAGCTTAATCTGGTGATTATACAGAAGCAAACAAATCCCAACATGACACAGAAAGTAAAGAATTATCCTGTGACTAAAATAAACAAATACAACTGATGGTTGCACTCATCCTGTAATAGGGTTTTCACATGCCAGAAATAAAAACTGTGATCTGATATTCTCAGTCATATTACTGGGGAAAATTACTATTTTAGCAAAAAGAATGCCCTACTATGTGCCATAGTTAGGAGTCAGCTGTTAACCTGACACAACCCTGCATTGCTTGGGAATGACCTGGGGGACACTGGCTTCATTTCTAATTCACATAGGAAGGTCCAGTTAATGAAGCCTGTGCCATCTTTAGGCAGATGGCCCTGGGCTGTATAGGAGAAGTAGCTGAGCAAGCCAAAAAAGCAAGCCAGTAAGCAGTACAGTTCCTGGACCCAGAGTCCTTCCTTGAGCTCCTGCCTTGGTTTGCTTCCATGATGTGGTTGTAACCTATAAACAAATACATCATTTCCTCCAATTGATTTTAGTCATGGTGTTCAACACAGCAACAAAATGCAAACTAGGGCATTATTGGTAAGGTAAAAATATAGCAAAGTTAATACAAATGTTTTATGAATATTTAGTAAGCTATGTTAAATGTCAATATAAATATTAAAACAATTTTAAACTAATAGTATAAGAACAACCAAACAATACTTTTTCTAACTCAGTATGAGTTCCTGACCAATGAATTAGTTGTTGAATGAATTATTTTAAAATTGAATGAATGGTTTTAAAAGAATAGAATTGATAAAACAAGAATAAATCAAATTCCAGTTAAGAATACTTGTGAAAATTTGCAAGATTTATTAGTTGTGTGAAATTGGGCACATCACTTCCAAACTCTGCACCTGTTAAATGATACAAAAAAGTGTACCCTATATACACATTGTCCTCACACTTTAAAGTTTCTGAGATTTTAAATGTTCTACTTCTTAAACTAGATATACTATTTATACATGAAAACTCCTTTTGGTTTTCTAAGAAAAGCATCTGTAAAATTGATGCCACTCAAGAGATGTCGTTCATAAACTAAATGCATGTATTAAGTTGCATAGAAAAAACAAGAAGACAAATGAAGAAATGGGAGAACAAATGAATAGGTTGCCTTTTCTTATAAAAAAGGCTCTAGAAGACCTGGTGGGGAGGAGGCAGCAAGAAGTTTACACAGGTTATAAGAACTCCTTGCATTTCTTTGGTCTTTTAAACTCAGTTCCTGCAGATACAATGAGCAATTCCTCAGCCCAACTTCACAAGTGATAGTAGAATAAACCCTTGTCTATTAGACACAAGCAGAGACCTTTCATTAATTAGAAAGACGATGACCACGTTTCTGCAGTGCAAATGTATTGCAAAGCTTACTTGGTGCCCGATTCTTCAAACATAAACTGAAAACAGAGGAACAGTTCCCTGTTCTCAGCAAGCTATGCTGTAGTGCAGCACAGAGAAGAGGGTTGTTGACCAGAAGATGGAGAGAATAGTAAGTAAACAAGGCAGCAATCACACACACTTCCTGTATTTGTAGCTCCTTCTCTAGGAAATAGTAAAACTTTTTAGATAAATTTTCATTGAATATTTAATAAGACAGTTAAAATGCCAAAGTAAATAAGTTGTTTAACTTGGTTTTTTTGTGGGATTCCTAACAATGGGAGTTGGGGGTGTCTCTGAATCTTTTCCCTGCTCATGGGACCCTTTTCCTCCTTCTGGGATGCCTCCTCCAGCCTTAAAATGAGGGTTTGTGTCTGGACTTAATACATCCTGTTATGCCATGTTCAGATGATATCACTGGGAGGTCTGCTCTTTTCTGAAAGAAAATGGAGGAGCAGAGCATCTGGGGGAGAGAGGATGTGGGAGGTGACTTGGAGAAGGGGAGGAAGGAGAGGCCGAGGTCAGGATATATTGTATACGAGAAGAAAAAAGAAAAAGAAAAAGGAAAAATCAACTTCAAACCAAATCTACAAACAAAAATACTTCTTATAACCCAGTACAATCTTTCTCCCCAAATCACTAATTTTACTATGAATTCTACCTCTTAGGATTAGGGAAAGGCAAATGCCACTTAGGTACCCACCCTTCAAACACCTGGGCTGTCTGATCAGGATTTAGAATCAGGCAACTATGATACCGCCTGAGAACAGCCACGATACAGACACACAGTCCTGTAGTGTAACTTCCTGCCAGGCTAGAAGACTTCAAGAGCAGCTCAGCTTCCACCACGCTCAGTTCATTCAGTAACTGCAACAGGGAAAGCAGGCAGAAAAAACATAGGTGAAAAAAACAACAGGAGAGCTCTTCAATGAACCATCAATGCACTCACTCTGCACACAGCTTCATAAAATACACTAGTTTTGCCACTATTTACTTTTAAGCCTTTCCTAATCTAACCGAATGTTCTTCTGTCTAGTCACTCATTTGTATACAACCAAGATGTAAACAGTACTGAAATGGTTACCAAAACTTTTTAATAGCCCCAAATCCTGGACTGGATCATTTTAAAGAACCAACAGATACTTTTTCTTCCTCTTTATTTCCTTTTGTTTTGTTTCATTTTGCTTTTGTCTGTTTGCTTTTGTTCTTTTTTCTTTCTTTTGAATGCAATGCAAGTGGTAACTACATTCTTATTTATGAATCTAGCATCTATTATATAATAAAAAACAAGCCTAATATTTTTTCATCAACACAGGAATAAATGAACTAAAATGTGCATAACTACAGTGGGACAAATGAAATTCTAAGGTCTATTTTAGAGTCATTTTTGCTTTTCACTAAGAAATTCTATTACACAGAAAATAGTATCTCATCATTCCCCATGCAGAATAGTAAGGCCTTAAAAACAAAACAACAGAAACAAAAAACCCTGAAGTAAATGTAGTTCTGAATGACAGGTATATTACTAGCACCAATTATAACCTAACAGGAAAACTGTTGATTCAGAATGGCTCCAACACTTAAAGATACACTAGGTGCTTAAAATAGTTTTCATGCAATGAAAGGGTGCACGTTCAAAGTCATAACATGGTTCTAGGACTAAAAAAGCTGGAGTAGAGAAATGATTAGGAAAAGTTAATCAATGCATACTAAGTTCAGTTAGATAGGAGCAAGATATTCTTGTGCTGTAACACTGCAGGGTGATTACAGGTAACAGCATGCACTATACCTGACAAAATTAGGGGAAAGGTACTTGACAGTTTCTACCATCAAGACATGATGTTTGAGGGCACAGGTATGTTTAAATTAATATAAAGAATATACATAACACATACATATTCTGAAGCATCATATGGTACCCCAGAAACCTACAAATCTTTTTTACACATTTATACAAGCTAGAAAATAAATGAGGGAGTTGATACATGACTCTGTGGTTAAACACCTCTTTCAGAGAACTCAGATTCAGTACTCAGCACCCACATGGTGTCTCACTAGCATCTGTAATTCCACTTCTAAGAGAACCAATGACCTCTTTTGAACTCCCCGGGCACCAGGCACACACATTGTACACATATGCATGAAGGCAAGACACCCAGCTACAGAAAATAACTCTAAAAATACATAAATTTAAGCCAGGTCGCAGCTTGTAGCCTGCAGTACTTAAAGGATGAGTAGGGAGGTCACTTCATATAGAGGTTTCAGACCAGCTGAACACTAGAATGATATCCTGGTTTTTAAATCAACAAATATAAAAAATTTAAAGAAAGAAGATAAGCTCATCAATGTTTGGTAGGTTTGCTCTCTTAAATATGAGAAAGATACAGCCTCTTTGATACCTGTATTGCAAAGTCAATTAGTCCATTGATATTCAGCGCTGGCTCCATGAGATCAAAGATGAGTTGAATATGGTGAGCCAAAGGGAGGTGGTAGGATGTTCCAGACGCAAAGCTTGTGATTTGCTCCAGCACATTGTTAGAGATCTGCTTAGACAAAAGCAAGGAAAATCACACAAACAACAATCTGGGTGATGTTTCAGTTAGATAAATTACTTTGATTTTTAAAGTAACACATATGAATTCATGGATTCTACTTGGTAGTTAGAATGTATTTACACAGAAATCAAAACATATGCAAATCAGCATTCTTAGAATCATAATTTGAAAAACAAGTAAGACAAATTGCAGTGTAACCTATATACTGGTGATCCCTAAGGGGAAGCACCCAGAAATGTTCATCACAGACACTGGAATGTGTTAACTGAAGAACAATGGATTTTTTTCTCAATTTCATAGCATTTTAACTAAATCATTAACAGGTTTCTCCATCGACAATAGTAACATTGGGTCAGCATGTCATAAAATAAATAAATTAGGAATTATTTTTGCATATTTCTGATTATTATGAAGCAAAAGTACTTACATAATAAAAACATGTTGAAGGAGACAACCTGACACTTAAAAATGAAGCTTGAGATGCTTCCAAGTCTATAAGGTGAATTTATAAAAATTAAAGTTCCAAGTGTATTGCTTGAATTTTTAAGAAGGTAGAAATATTCAAAATGTGTGACAAAACAGCCTTGAATGGCTACCTGAGATGTCACTTGATGTTGATCAAAGTATGAGAGGAGCTGGAGTTTCGTGAAAACGGTTTCCGGGGTTGGAAAAACTTCCTGCTTGCTCTTCCTGGCTTTCTGTCCTTCATCCCCAACTAAATAAACATAAGATGAGTTACTTTCCATTTAAATCAAGCTCTTCATGGTTTTAAAGATGTGTGTGTGTGTGCGCGCGCGCGCGCACCCGCACTCGCGTTTACATATTATTACACACATGTATGGAGGCAGGAGGAAAACATCTGGTGTCGTTCCTCAGGTGATATCACCGTCTTATTTATTTAGTGATGGGTATCTTACTGGCTGAAACTCACCAAGTAGGCTAGACCAGCTGGCTAAGGAGCAGAAGAGGTCTGCCTATATCCAGTCACCCCCTGCCCCCAGCAATGGGATTAACAGCATGCTCCATCATGCCCAGCTATTTTTATGTGTGTCCTGGTACTTTACTGAGTTACCTCCCCTGCCCCAGCTTTTTATGGTACATTATATTGAAGTACAACATATAGAAGAACACATATATACTCTGCATTTTCACATGAATGAGTTCCAAATCATGAAATAATACATCAGCAGCCCAAATATTCCAATATAAACCACCTCTCCTTCACCCAGGTGACAAAGATTTGGACAGCTTCCATCTTGGATGGGTGGAAACTTTCACTCAACATTATGTTTTAAGATTGGTTCGTTGTGGAGGTAATTTTAATTTGTTCTAAAATTTAATAATTCTCACATACATTATTCCAATATATGAATACATGACATATTTATCAATTATAGTAAATAATGACTAGATTCTGGCTATCATAAATATCTTTATGAACATCAATCATTAATTGACTTTGAAAATACAATAGCAACAATAAATGACCATGGGGGGAGCACCAAGGCTCACTATGACTAAACAGGCCATATTTTAGGCTTTAAAAATTATCTATTATTTATTTATTATGTGTTCATTTGCAGTCAACATGGAGCATGTGGAGAAGGCAGAGAAGAATGTATAGAAACTGGCTTTTAGCCTTGCCTGGGTATTTTTCTAAATCAGTTAAATAAATATGCACATTTATTTATGAAGAAATTTATACAATGTTGCTTATTTGGGGGAAATTCTTGTTTTATTCAAGCTAAGAACAAAAAACAAAAATACAATAAAGTATCTAGAAACAGAATTGCATATATGGATTTACAAAGACTGAAAGTAGCAGTTGGCCTACAGGATGCTCAGCACTGTGTGCTACATGGTCAGCAGCTACTCAGAAGGAGCTCTGTGACTGAGTCTCATGTGGGAAACTTTTGTTCAGACAGCTCATGTCTTTCATTTCTCTACTGAAAGCATAGGAAGTCAGCAATATTCCATGCTACGCCACAATACTTGGCTAGTGGCAAATGCAATGCTTTAAGAAATTACATCAAAAATTGACTCAACTTTGAACATTAAGCCAAACACAAAAACAAACCAAGTTTTCATCCTTCAATTTGATTCAACTGATAGTGATACCAGAATGAATAAATTAGTAAGATGTTCTGGCACTGGGGGAGAGAGACAGCTTAGTTAAGGAACTGCTGGCCCTGCAAGCATGACGCTCCCAGTGCAGATTCCAGAACGCACGTTTAAAAAACAATGCTAGGAGTGGTGACACCTGCCTGTAATCACAGCACTGGGAGGCAGATATAGGACAGCTAGTAAAGATTAGTTGTTGAGTACAAGCCAGTAAAAGACCATCTTTCAAAACAAACAAACAAATAGTGGAGGGCGCTGGAAGAATGGCAGTTGAAATTGTTTTCTGAGCTTCACATGCACCACACACATGTGCACATACGTAAAAGAAGTGCTGGTAAAGCACCTGTTAAAATTCCACTTCTGTCAAATGAGACCAAGTATAATACAAGTACGAAATAGCAAATTAATTAAGCTTCATTCTCTTTCAGTAGCTATCCTCATAAGCACAAAGTAAACATGGGATGAGGCCTTCTCTACAGCTGTTCTCAAAGGTGTCATAAGTGTATTTGAGATATCCAAGTTTTGATTTAGTTTTCAGCTCCCTAGTATCCTTCAAAACTGAAGGATACTATTGTCTTGTGTACAAAATGCTTGAAATCATGAAGTTCATGCATTAATTCAGTCTTCCTAAGACCAAAACAAACACAGAAGACATGATGAAGTAGGCCTTACTACGAATTCCGAAAGTGCTTTTCAATTAACTCATTTGTGCAAACAGGCTCCATTACTGACACATGCAATGTCATAAGAGCTCAACTGAAAGGATACCATTGAGTCTTGCAATTTAGAAAGAATACTGGTATTTAGTAGTGGTTCTAAATGAAAGATATCAATGTCATTTGTACAAGTAACAACACACTTTTAATAGAAAGTCTTTTTGTATCTGTTTTCTTATTTTTCTGACATACATTATTGCTCTTCTCCTTTCTTTTTACATTAAATTTTTAAGCCTTTAAATTCTGAAAGTGTTGACCTTTCAGACAAAGTTATGGTAGACTTGACATTAAATCTAGGTGGTTAACTGGAAATGTTATTGAAACTTTAAGTTAGAGGGAGCAGAGGTAGCTCAGTTGGCAGAATGCTCACTTAGCTGGCTTCAGTCCCTAGCATCACATACACAGAGCATGGTGATGTAAGCCTGTAATCTTAGCATGTGAGAGACAAACACAAGAAGAACAACAGAAGTTCTGGGTAATCTCTCCCAAAACAGAAGACACTATCTGAAAAAGGCAAATCATAACAACAAAAGACTTCGTGTTATAAATCCCCAAGGGAAGCCTGGCTGGTTCACCAAATGTCTTCAAGTGTGCCTCAAATAATCTAAGTTTTGTTTTCTCAACAACAAGATACACTCTAGTCTAAGAGTTTGTGTGTGTGTGTGTGTGTGTGTGTGTGTGTATGTATGTGTATCTATGTAAGGACAAATTTCCATTAGCCTCAAATACAGTTGGCTAACTTCTGGTATATAAACAAAGTCTTAAATAACTTAAAATTAAGACTGTTTGTCAGATGCATATCACTGTATCTGAAATTAACATCATTAAAATAGAGGAAAGGAAAAAAAAAAAAACCTCTGGAGATGCCACTTTAAAGTGGCGTTTATGTGACTGCTGTTTTAAATGCTGAACAGTAAATGTCTCTTTTTTAGTCCATATGCAAGAAATGTCTACTTAACGGTTTGGTACATAGACAGAACAGATGGTAGTCTGGCATTAAAACAATACTATGAAGGAAGGAAGCAGGCTCAACAGAAAAGGCACCACAGTGCTTCCTTCCCCTTCCAACCTCCTTTCTTCTTTCTAAACCAGAAATTTCAGAGTTCTGCAAAGGCCCTCTATACTAATTTGATAAATCAAGCATGACTATGCCTCTTGCAGGTATCAGCACCTCTTACCCCCATTCCAACTATACCAAAAGCTGGGTTGAAAGTCCTTTCTAGCTAGCTGCAAGGCTTCTAAGTTCAATCCTCTGATGAAACTCATTTCCTCTTTTCTCTGAGAGAGAGAACACAGTACAACTGATAAAAGTTTTCTTAGACAGAGCAGTTTCTTGTTCAAGGGCTACAAGAAGCCAACAAAAGACAGTTTCATTTCCCTTTCTCAGTTCTTGGTCATTTCTCATAAAGCTGGTATATTTGAAGGCCCTGAACTGGCAAGGGAAAGGAGCTAGGACATGGTGTGGAGACCACACATGAGGACCACTGTGTTCTCATGGCCTCAGACACTCCCTCAGACACTGGGGCTCAGAAAGCAGGCTGAAACACAAACAGGTAGTCCTGCTGTGATCAAGCAGGTACACCATGCTGATGACAGAAAAAGAATCAAGTTCAATTATTTCCACTTTCAGGGAAAAAAATCTAGAATTCCTAAGCAAGCCTTAGTAGTATATCCTGCTAAAGTCATAGAAATGGGAAGGGTTCCCAGCTGTTTCTTCTCAAGAAGGAAAAGCTCAAGCAGCAAAGTGAGCTCTACACAGGGCAAATGCCACTTTTTCCTCCTTTCTATTACTGGACTGTTAGACACGAAAAGACCAGTGGTGGTGCTAGGGTATAAAATAGTGCCATGTTTTAAACCATGACTAAAGTATGATGTAAACCTCAAAAGGAGTAATTAGGCAAATATGAAGCAGATAATAAGAGGACTCCAATTATGCAATGTGATGACACAATGCAAGGGCAAAGCTTTGGGAAAAAAAAGGAAACTATTTGAAAAGAATAGGCAAAGAAAATTCCAAGTCAAAAAGGCATTAGATCAAGTTGCCTCTTTCACCTGGAATTATTTGGTGACAAACCTTTAGCCTCGAGCTCCGTCTCCATTATCCTTCTGAGTAACATGAAATCATCAACCATATCATGGTTTGCCTCTAATGTGAAATATGAGAGAATGGAGAAAAAGCAAACCACAGGCTTGTAAAATGATGCAAAGAAAAAGTAAAATTGATTGTTTGCCAGCGGAGTGTTTCATCTCATTATCCGGTACATCATCCACAGTGGCGACTATAAAAAACATGGTACATAAATGAAAAGCACAAAGCTTACTCTATCTCCCCACAGAAGGTGGTTAATTGATACAAAGGCTGCTAGTAAGGAACACAAGACTGTAAGATGTAAATGTGCCTATTCATATTTCAGTGTGACAGTCATTCAAGAGAGGAAGCCCTGGTGACAGTGACGTGGACCACTTTGATAAAGCCTGTGAGAACAGGGAACACAAACAAATGCAGTGGGAGCCAGGGCCCTGCGGCTCCTTACCCCCTGATTCTGTGGTGCTCTTCTTGTTTAGGATTTTCAGGATATCTTTGGTAATCTTCTTCAGCTGATGCCTGGCTTCATCACGCTCTTTTCCGACTCCGTAGAGAAGGATTGTGCGCTGGTTACATTCATGATTTGAAGATTCATCCTGAAAAACAGCAAATGCCTCTGAAACCAGTTTGCAGGGTTGGGGGTACAATTTATACTCCCGAAACACACTAATCACAGTCTCTCCGTGCCCGCTTGCGGGGGTGGCATCTGTCTACTCTGCAACACACCTCAACCTCCACCGGCACCACCCTGTTTTTCCAGTTTGGAACATGCTAAAGCAAAAAATAATAAAGTACCAGCTGACCTGAAGTATTTGACCTGGGCGTACCCTACAGAGTAAGTGCTGACTATTGAAAGATTCTGCATTGTCTAAATGTGACCATGGCATAAAATGATGATACTGTTTCCTTAAGGGAAATATCATTACCTTAGTGAGCTTGGTGTTGGATATACAGCAATAGTATGTGTTTTATATTTAGGACAAAAGTCTTGCTAGCACTTTCAAGTACCTTCAGAAAAGGATACTACACTTACTTCAACATGACTGTATGAGATATATTAGTATTTTTTCCAGATGACACAAAGGAACTCGTAAGGATCACTAGGTGTAAGCTAAGTAGCTAGAAATACATAATCCAAGATGCTCACTAACCTCTTCCATTTTAGAAACCTGACTCCTCAAACGATCATGGTAAATCCAAGCACTACTTTTTCCCTTGTGAGAAAAGAAATTACATAGTCACTAAGTAATGAATATGAATTTAGCAGAGCTGGATTTAACCTTAGCCAAATGTAACTGTCCAAGGTGTGGCTTAACTCTTATGACTGGCTCAAACTTCACAATGCTAATTTCTCTTTGACATCTTTTGTTTTCTATTTTCTAAATAAAGTTGTTTACTTTTCAGTTGGACCTTTCAACATATTATCTACCCATTGTTGTACTATTTGTACAACATTGTCCATGCTAAGGCATCCTCTTCCTACTCGCCTCTTATCCTAAAGAACTCCTAGGGGAAACAAATTGCATATGTTTATCATTAGCAATGGTCAAACCCTCCAGAAATGGGGAACTGCAGTGTTAGAGTTCCCTGTGTTCTCTGCATACAGTACCAATAACTAATACCTGCTTCTGCAGCTAGTGAGTAAGCACCAGGTTCCCTCTCCAATTGGGCCACTGACACAAACACTTGCCTTCAGTCTACAATTCAATTTCAGCGTGCTAGAAAGAATACACATTTGCATTTCCTGTTGACTTATCTTTCTATATCCCTTTGCTAATTCTTAATGTTCCAAGTGTCCTAATAGACCTAAAGATGCCCAAACCAGGATAGTGAAAGATAAAATATCCAAATACTAATAACAACTCACGACAGTCACAGCCCAGTAGTGTACCATGCTTAGGACTGAGAGAGCTTGGAATGTATCCTAGTCAAGACACTCAACAGCTCCATAATCCTGGGCAATAAGCCTAGTTCATCTCAGATTCTTCTTCTTCTGAATATGGTAATGCCAACTTCTATTTAAGGCCTTGAAAGAATAACCAAGACATACACACATGCAATGCCCTAGAGCACTATATATCCGTGTGTGTGTGTGTGTGTGTGTGTGTGTGTGTGTGTGTGTGTGTGTGTGTCCGTGTGCACGCGCGCGTGTGTGCAGACCTGTGCGTGCGCTCACTGCTCACATTCTAGACTTCCACTCCTCCAAACACACCTGGAGCCCACACTGTACTGCATTAATCAACAGTTCTCAAGAGCTGTTGAAGCTCTCCCAGCCATCTAAAATGCACAATCTCAATTGCTGACATCTGCCTAAAGGCAGGGTGTTAGGATCCCATCAATGGCATCAGCACACAGGCACTAGGAAGGGGAAGAAGAGTTGGAGCATTCATCAGACATAAATCATTTATTTTCTAGGTTGTTGTTTTTTAATGGTTATCTTCCCAAGTCCACCATTATTCTCCTTAGTAAGCACTAAGTTGGCCCTTAATGCTTGGTGAGCTCACCAAGCAAAAAGGAAGTCAGTAGAATAAGGGACAAAGATGGATAAAGGAAGACTGAGGAAAGGAAAGAAGATGAAAGGATTGTTTTATAGGAAACAGTTGGCTGTTAAAGTGCTAGGGAAGTTGAAGAAGTGAGAGACCAATAGAAAGTTCATGTTTGCATGGTGAACTAAGTCTTAGTTGTGGGGACGAGGAACAGAAAGCAGAATCTAACAGGCACCTGATGGAGAAAGGGATCAGACATCAGGGTCCATTCTGTGAATGTGCATCACAGTAGATTTCATTGAATCAATTTGAAAACATTTGTTGGAAAGAAACCATGAAAGCATATGGTTAATGTGTATTTGGTTTGATGTGGACACTGATGTTGGTCAGGGTTGAGGAGGTAAGAAGAGCATTAAGTCCTAAGAGAGGTGCAAATCCTCCACTTTCTACTTAGGTAAGAAAAGCAGGTAGCTGAGACAGGAGCAAGCCATTAAAATGATGCACATCTGTGCTTTTTTACTCACTAAGATGCTCTAACCATGCAAGGCCCAGAAATCAGGCTTGGAGACACAACAGGGACCATCAACCAATGGTTCAGTAGGGACCCAATTGAGGCAAAGAGTCAGTTTATATATCATGTCTATTTTTGACTTGTTTTGTTTTGTTTTAGTAAAAACTTATGTATACCTCAAAAGAGAAGTTTCTCCAGAGTGGTTGTAAAGATAGTTCAGCAGGAAGCAATGGGTTGAAGAAAGAGCTTCTATGAAAGGAGTGAGGGGCAGGGGGCCGCAGAGAAGTGATTCGTTTACTAGACACCGAGGATAAAGACTGAGTTTAAAAAGGAAAACCTAATTTGAGTAATAAACAGCAAACTCTTGTTTCATAGTTATGGCACAAATAAAGAAGGCCTCAAAGGACTGAAATGCAGAACAGATACTGATGTGAGGTGGGAGACAATGGTCCATTGTCAAGATTATTATTTCCCAATAATTCTATTATAAAGTATATGTGATGATGTTGTTTTTACTGGCGGGGGGGGATGATAAGATGTGACCAACTAATTATGCTATATGATAATACACAGTTTTAGGATGAGACACTTTCCAACTAAATATTTTAGTGACTTTTATGATCAGGTGATCAAAGGGGAAATTGGCAGTTGACCCCAATGAGAAAATGTGAAAAGGTTCACAGAGAGGTGTTAGTGGTTGTCACGTAGGTCAAAGCTCTTTTTGTTCTTCAAATCCTTACTGAGAATGTTTTAGGGGTTTGAAAATCTATATTTTTAGTAGGAAAGTATAATGTAGGAATCATAAGTTGATTTTCTTTTAATGTAGCAGACTGATTTACTGAATATAATTGGTATTTCTCCATCCAAAGACTTGTTTCAACAGAGATTTCAGAAACACTACAAATATCCTAAAGTTTAGATAGAATTGGATATAAAGGCAAGTAAAATGCTTATTTGATAAAAGGCAGTTTAGCCATTTTGTTCTCACTGGGCCCCAAAGAGGAAAGACCACAGAGATGGCATGGGCATAGTCTCAGGAACAAAGGTGGCTCTAGACCAGACAACATGGGCTGGGATGAAGTGACCAATTAGCCTGACTGTTCTACTCAGTTTCCTTCATTCAAAACTGATGATAAAATAAGTATTGACTGATAAAATAAAAGTGAGTTAATTTATGGTAGTATAAGAAATCAAATGTTACTAATTATTATTTTGAAGCATAAACCTTTTTTAAAAAAGTATTTCAGACACCCAAATCAGCAAGTAAGACCAGTTTAATTGGCTTTGTTTATTATATGAAGGTAAGAACAACCACACAGACTTTTCAAAAGCTTAAAAATCCAATCAATACTTCTTTCTAGGTGATGGAAATGTTGCAGTTAGTATGCAACTGAAAGTTGCTGAAGTGAGTGAGAATGAGAACTTGATTTCAAATTTTGGTGGCAATACAAGTCCTGTGTCTATTTAATGCAGTGGTCCTCGAGCCTTAGTGTGCCTGAGCATCACATGGAAGATGGTTAAATACAAATGGGGGGGTCTCTGGTTCATGGACACCAGGTAGGTGCCCTAAATGTACATTCTAAACAAAATGTTCAAGTGATGCTGAGCTGCCACGACACACTTTCACCCCATTAATTCGATTTGAGTGTACACACACTCAAAATTCAGAATAAGTAAAATATGTCTCCCTAGTACAGACATCTACCTAAGGGATTTTACTGCTAACAGAAAGCCATTTCAGTTGGAAATATTGTGTGTATGTACAATGAATGTTGTTTTTCTCAAAATGCAAGAGCCAGAAATATTCATATAAATATAACACAGCAATAAATTTATTCTACAATTTCACTCCAAGTGTATCTTGTGCCTTTTTTTTAGTATAAAAGTTAAAGAATTGCATATAATAGTGATACAAAGGTGATTTGATGTGACATTATCATTATCCAGACTCAATGCTTAAAAAAAAAAAAAATCCATTGTTCATTATTTAACTTCTATTCAGGACAACCATGAAGGCCGCTTCATGCAATCATCCTGGCAATGGATACAACTTTCTTTCGTAATATAATTTGGGAGTCTAATTTATAATGGGATGATGCTGTTTTGCCCACAAAGACGTTAATCAAACACAGATTTTAAATAATGACATTATGAACTAGGATAAAACAAGAAGCAAAAGGCTTACCACCCTTGAGGAAGCACACATTCTGAGATAATAGAATTACTTGTGAGACAGTAACATATCATCCACTTTGAGCACACTATGTTTTCAGGTGAACGCCATCTGAGAAACCAAGCTTGCACCCTTCTCCCAGGAACAGGTTTAGAAGACTTCATCTCAGCTTTGCATGGAAAATTCCCCCACCCCGCCAAACACACAAAAACCCTACCTTACTGATTCTATTAAAGGTTTTAGAAAAAAGCCACAGTATCTTAAATTGGTTTTAGAAAGATGACTTCTCAGCCACCTTTGCACCATTATTTCCCAAGAGATAAAAGCAGAAGTCCTAAAAACAGACAGATTCAGTGTCTGCAGAGCTTTGATTGTGCAGTGGAAGGTAATTTCTTACTGGGATGTTCTTCCTTCCCCTCTCCGTTTATTTCTCTCTAGAACACTCAAGATTGCATTGCTGAAAACTCAGCAGATTCTCTATCACAGAGGGCACTGGCAACTAAACTGAGCGACCAGGGGAAAACACCAGATGCCTGTCTGCATGTTCTACTAACTTGTATTACTGAAGATACACAAATCCTTCAGAGTCAACAGGATAACCAGGTAATGTGACATTATCACTTGACAGACTTATAATATGAAGTATTTGCATATTTTCCAAGTTTGTTCTTAAAATCAAAAACCTTTTATAGCCATTCATAAAATCAGAAGCACATGGTTTGCATAACATTAAGTTAATAAAAACTAAGTCACAGGTCTTAATGGTACAGGAGATTAAGTTCTTCAGTAAAAATACGCCGAGCATGGAGAAATGTTGATGTTTTGACTGTGAAATGAGAATTAAGTATAAACAAAAGGAATGGGATTTCCCAATGTTAAGGGAGTTGCTAACTAATTTACCTACTGTGCACAATGAGCATTCCTAAGGTAGAATTGCTAGAACCATCGAAGAACAGATAAACAAAAGGAACTAGAGACTGCAAAGTGGGCTAAACTCAGTGGTTCTTCACCTCTGAGGTGCTGAGAGCTGAGGCTACACTCCTGGTGATATTCTTAACTGTATAATTTTCAGTAACTAAAGAATCCCATTGACATCTGGGAGAGAAATCTGCTAATCTTCATCTATCATGTTAGATCTTGTATGGGAGTTATGTGGGGTTTTTAGCCATATTTGAATATGAGGAATTCTGTTTTATGAGAAATCAATTTATTTGTTTGATGGAAATTTGAAAAGCTTTATATTCCATCTTAAATTTCAAGTTAGATGGCATATATAACATATCTCAGTCAACTGCCACTCTTCCTTGAGTTGTTTGTTGTGTGATAACCTAGGAAATCAAAGGAGGACTAATTTCTGCTATTTTATTTTAGTTACCATTAAATATGCCATAAACCTGGGAATGATGCTCTGGCTGCTTTGAGAAATGTCAAGCAATGGTCACACATACAAAGGCTGTTGCTGCCTTCTACTACTATTGTTACTGTTTTAGGATTCACACTGAGTGATATTCAAAAAGCATATACAAACTTCAAACAAAATGAACAACTTGAAAATGAGAAAAACATGGGCTAAATCTTCTAAAGTAAATAACGAGTCTCTGTAAGGCTAATATTTGATTGCATGGCTGACTGACTAAGAACAGGCAGAAACAACTCCCGATACACAGGAAAAGTCTGTGGATTTTTATTTTCTACAATGTACTACTTATTTTATTGAATAAACTTCCCAACAGTGACTTCATACCTAATTCTCTGATTGGTATTTCATTTGTACTTCTAACTCATAATCATTCACTTCTCCATTGAATTCATCAGTGATACTAAAGTGTGAAACCAGGAATACGGGATCAGAAGAAAAGGGAGCTGTAAACAGAAACAAAAGGCTACAGGCTTGAGAGAAGAAGAGGGAGAAATAAACAAAGCATTAATAGCATACCTGTCATGGGTTTCCTATATAGACAGAGGAGAGCGGGCACTAAGGGAACAATGAGCTAAGAAATACAAACATCAATAAAACAAACACAAGGCTCCCATAACATCACACAATGCACCTCATATCATCTTAATTTGCTATAGATGGAATATTTGTTTAGATGGAATATTCAGGGATTCTGTTTTCTATTAATTCCTACCAACTGCCACCATAAAGATAGGAAAACTCAGGTTTTAACCAAAGTTGTACTTCAGAAAGTTATGTATAGAAATAACAAGCAAACCAATGACCTGTGATTAAATATGTTCACATTCCCTCTCTCTGCTCTAGGAGCTAGCACAACGGAGATGCCTGATATGGACACCACCACAGCCAATACCACCTTCACAGCTGGGAATGGCACCCTGTGCAGCAGGGACTACAAGATAACCCAGGTTCTCTTCCCGTTGCTCTACACCGTCCTGTTTTTTACTGGACTCATCACAAACAGCTTGGCAATGAGAATTTTCTTTCAAATCCGAAGTAAATCCAACTTCATTATTTTTCTTAAGAACACAGTCATTTCTGATCTTCTCATGATTCTAACTTTTCCTTTCAAAATTCTTAGTGATGCCAAACTGGGAGCCGGGCCTCTGAGAACCTTGGTGTGCCAAGTCACCTCAGTCACGTTTTATTTTACAATGTATATCAGTATATCCTTCCTTGGATTGATAACCATTGACCGCTACCTGAAGACAACCAGGCCATTTAAAACTTCCAGCCCCAGCAACCTTTTGGGTGCAAAGATTCTTTCTGTTGTCATCTGGGCCTTCATGTTCTTACTCTCACTGCCTAACATGATTCTCACCAACAGGAGGCCAAAAGAACAGAACATAAAGAAATGTTCTTTCTTAAAGTCAGAGTTTGGTCTGGTCTGGCATGAGATAGTCAATTACATCTGTCAAGTCATTTTCTGGATTAATTTTTTAATTGTCATTGTTTGTTACAGTCTCATTACAAAAGAACTCTATAGGTCCTACATAAGAACAAGAGGTGTAGGCAAAGTCCCCAAGAAAAAGGTGAATGTCAAAGTTTTTATCATCATTGCTGTGTTCTTCATTTGTTTTGTTCCCTTCCATTTTGCACGGATTCCCTACACCCTGAGCCAAACCCGGAGTGTCTTTGACTGTGCTGCTGAAAATACTCTGTTCTATGTGAAGGAGAGCACCTTGTGGCTAACGTCTTTGAATGCCTGCCTCGACCCGTTCATTTATTTTTTCCTTTGCAAGTCTTTCAGGAATTCCTTGACAAGAATGCTGAGGTGCTCCAATGCTATGTCACCCTCTGGAGAAAACAAGAAGAAAGGACAGGAAGGTGGTGACCCAAGTGAGGAGACCCCAATGTAAAATGGGACCCGAGGGGCTGCTTCAGTCTGTAGTGTTCAGACTACTCCAAGAAAATCACCACAGAAAAATATTAGCACTCACTTAAGAGAAGCCGAGCAAATGGGAAATAACCTTTATCTACTTATCCTATCTGCAGGAGTATAGTAAAATAAACTGCATCCTATTGCTATACTGCAAGGAAACCCACAACTCATAAAGAATTAATGGTTTACCCCATTCCTGCAAAATGAGCAACCATGAAATGTAATCTCCACGGTTATTTTAAAATCCATTACCATTCAGTATTATTTTTGTAATAAGTGAAGACTTATGTTTGGTATAATACATTAAGCCCAGTAACTCCTGACTTCTCATTTAGAGCAAGAAGGACAACAACAACAAAATGAAATGACATTGGATGAGGCCTGCGTTATTATAAATGGTAGAGGTTTAATCTATCTTTCCATACAGAACAGATATAGTAAATAAAGCCATTAACTTAAGGAGTGTAAACTTTCATAACATTCTAATATTTAAAAAAATGTATTACTACTTCCTTAACACTAGAGAAAGCAATTTCACTAAGATTCTGAATTTACTCAATATGGTGCCATCATTGGCACTTGTCTTTTTTTTTTTATCAGCTTTAGAAATGCCTGCTGCTTGAATAAAAAAAAAAACAAACAAGCAAAAAAAAAAAAAAACACTTCTTAGTAAGAAAAGAAATAAGTAACTATAATTACCAAATTGCACCTCACATCTACCAGTAAGAAAGTGGTTGGACTATTTGACATTACTTGTTTGTAATCACATGTATAATATAAAGTAATTGAATTTATTCTGTATTGTTTTGTTGGAATGTCTTTGTTCAAAGGTTTAGAAACAATGGCTCAACCTTCTCCTACACTAGACAGTAAATGTATTTAAGAACTGTAGTCAATACAGCTTTTATTACATACTATTCTTCAGTCTCTTCAGAAAAGTCACGTCATGATTTTAAGTCCTCATGTAATTCCGATGGAGGTGAGATGTGTAGTCAGATATCATAGTTGACATTTTTATTTTATTTTTATTAACATGGAACTAGTGCATATTTAGTGGATATGGTATGACACTTTGATTTATACATAAAAGCAGTAGCATCCAAATTGGGGTCATATTTGATAGCTATAATATAAACACAATATCTAATGTGTGGAAGTTCAAATCATTTGTCTCAATCATTAATGCTCCTTAGAGGTGATGCTCTGGCAGAAGATGGTATAGATGATAGCATCTAAATATCATGCAAAATAAATGAAAAGGGTAGATTACAATATAGATAAGGTTGTTGAACTTCAATAATGTTTTCCAAACCCAACACAAGTTCTCAAGTTACATTTTGGTACAAAGCTAAGGATATGTAACTCTTTTTTTTTTCCCTGCTCCCAAGTGGCAGCACTTCCTGTCCTGGCACTGCTACAGTAAGAACAAGATGTGGAGATATAGCGACTGTGAAAAATGTGCATGTGCAGGCCGGGAACACAACTCAGAGAAAGAGCTCTTGATTAGCAATGCATGGGACCCCTGGTTCACTCTCCAGCACTGTAAAAAAAAAGGAGGGGCTGTATTCTATGACACAGAATTCAGAACAGACAGCTATTTCTGCCACAGTACTTCACTCTCCTACTAGCATACCCTATTTTGGTTTTGTAAAAACACCAGAATGTGGGCAACAGAGTTGCTATCAACCATTGGCATCAAACTTTACTTTGCATATGAGAAAAATAAAGGGCAGCAGCATCCCCCAAACCATTCAAGTGTAGAATAGGAAGTGTATGAAAGCTCTGCACCAAGGCCCCGTGAGTTCAGTGTGAACTTGATGAGGGACTGCAAGGGAAAGACTACCTGAACAAGCCTCCTTTTGTGGCTCTCCTAATCCACTGTGATATTTTTCTACATGAGACAGACAAATAGTGCTCATAGGATTATGACTTTTTTATCATTTTTTTATTTGAATTAGAAACAAGATTGACTTACATTATGACTATTTACATTGATTTTGACATTTTAACAACAACAAAAAACTGCAACATGTTTGGAATTACCTGTGTTTAATAGTTATGTATATACAGCGTGACATTTTAGATTAAGCCCTATATCACACTGTTGGGTTTCTGTACTGAAAGGCAATGGGCCCCACATACTCTTACATCAGCCTGAACCTATTCAAGACAGTCTAAGAGACAGTGGCTTATGCCTATCGTCTCAACCTCAATGGGTAAAGTACAGGATTACTTCAAGTTCAAGAACAGCCTGCTGATCTATATAGCCAGGTCCAGGTCAGCTAAGGCTAGAAAGAAAGACCATGTCTCAAAGCAAAACGAACTCACCAAAACTCACATTCTAAAATGTCAGTGTTATCAAATGCTTCCTCTAGATAGAACATGTCACCATCTCCAGCTTCGAATACTTTGACATATATAAACACATCTCATATCTCCAATTAATTTTAAGTGAAACCAAATTTGGTGTAAGTGAATATTTGAAAAGATGAGCCAATCCACACACCCGGCTTACAGATTCCAGCTTCCAGATTCCACCTGTTTATGAGGGGCATGTGGTCTAAAAAAGCTTCTTATATTTCAGGAATAAATTCTGTGTCACATGGAGTGTCTAGGAAATTAAAATTCCAGTTGTCAACAGTGAGGCTTCCCAGTAGCACAGCCACACTGCAAGCTGTATACCTAAGACTTCCATGCCACAACAACAGAGCTGGGCTGGAGGAAGAAAGACCATTCAGCCTGAATCACTTAAAACCTTGGCCCTTTAAAAGAAATATAATCTGCCAACCCTTGAATCACCACTTTTACAACAGAAATAAAACATCAGAAACAGAACCCTCTTACCACACATGCAGGTATTGTTGTGCCCACACTCTGGACCCCCCAAACCACCAAGAAACCAGATCCATTGCAAAAGCAAAGATTCTTTTTAACTACGAGTTAGCTCGGGTTCTCTGTCCATTTAACATAGAAGGTAGAGTAAGATGGACCACAAACCACAGTGGAGCAGGGCATATATATTGGGTGTAGAGCAAGGGGGAAGTCTGGGGGTCTGCTAGTTGTATAGCAACAGTCCGAGGATTGGTGCACCACTGGGCTGGGGGAACCTGTCCTGAGTTGATTGGTCAGCTGCAGCTGCAGAAAGGTTGCTATGCCTGGAGGCCATCCAAGTGCCATTGCTACCTACTGCATTCCACTCTTACCAGTAAAGCATTTCCAAAGCTTGCCAGCTAACTTCTGATTGCTTCCATACCACATGGAGGGTATCTGGCAGTTTATTCCCAGTAATGAGGCCAAGGTCAGGCAAAGTTGGAGGGGGAGGCTCAGCACCTCCTGCTGAGTCAGGGGCCTACATTTTTCTGGCTCTTTTCTGTATCCTGTCATGGCTGTCAAAGTAGGGGGCTGGGTGAGGGTCTGGGCCCTTCAGTCTTCTACTGTTAGTGAGCAATGGCCACAGTGGGATTAGAGTCACCAGGGGGAACTGAAGATGTGAAATACAACTTTGGAAGACTTCAGCTTTACAGGAGGCCAGGCTGAATGTAGGCATCCAAGACCTCACAAATATCAGCAGAGATACCATACTGGACCTGAAGATGAGCTAGTTGCCCAGACCCTTGGTCACTTAGGCCAGAAGACAAGAGAGGAAACAGAAAACAAAGGAACAAAACACCTATTCAACAAAGACAAATGCAAGAATCCTCACACAGACATATCATCCAAAATCCAGATGCCGAAACATCAGTGGAAGAAGTCAAACTATCAGAGGGTATGATAGCATATATAAATAAGCCCCAAAATTCTACCAGGGAGTTCCTAGAGCTGATAAACATCTTCAGTGATGCGGATGGATAAAAGATTAACTCAAAAAATGTGGTAGCCTTCCTATATACAAATGATAAATGGGCTGAGGAATAAATGAGGGAAACAACACCCTATACAACAGTCATAAACAATATAAGATATTTTGGGATAACTCTAACCAAATAAGTGAAAGACCTGTATGACAAGAACTATAAATCTTTGAAGAAAGAAACTGGAGAAGATATCAGAAGATGGAAAGATTCCCCCATGCTCAAGGATCAGTAGGATTAACATACTAAAAATGGCCAACTTACCAAAAGATTCAATGCAATCCCCATCAAAATCCCAACACAATTATTAATAGACCTTAAAAGAACAATATTCAACTTCACATTGAAAAACATAAAAGAAAAACCAGAATAGCTAAGAAAATCCTGTACAATAAAGGAACTTTCAGAGGTATCACCATCCCTGATTTCAAGCTCTACCACAGAGCAATAGTAATAAAAATAGCATGGTATCACCATAAAAACCAACAGCTGGATCAATGGAATTGAATCAAAGATGCTGATATAAATCCACACACCTATGAACACCTGATTTTTGACAAAGAAGCCAAAATTATACAATGGAAGAAAGAAAGCATCTTCAACAAGACAAGACTGGACATAAACATGCAGAATAATGCAAAAAGATTCATATCTATCACCCTGATATACAAGTTCAAGTAGATCAACATAAATCCACAACATAAATCCAGATACACTGAATCTGACAGAATACATAGTGGAAAATAGCCTTGAACACATTGGTATAGGAGACCACTTCCTGAGTAGAACACCAGTAGCACAGACACTGAGAGGACAATTAATAAATATGACCTTATAAAAACCGAAAAGCTTTTGTAAGTCAAAGGAATGGTCAATAGGACAAAAGGGAAGTCTGCAAAAAGGGGAAAATCTTCACCACCCCACATCAGATAAAGGGCTCTTTTCTATTTATTTCAAGATTTTATATGCCTTCCTGGTTCTGGGGGATATGCATGCCTGTATCCTTGCTATTGTCAGAATTGTTAATTGTATCTGTATTGGGTATAAAAACTAAAAGCCTTCCTTGTGGAATAAAAAAAGCCTCCATTCTTGAAGAATAAAGAACCATGAGAGGAACGTAGATGAG